ACAGCTGCTGTGCCGCTGTCTACGCAACTTCCCCCTCCCTGGGAGGTGTAAGGGGGAGCCCCAGACCCCCCTCGTGCCGGCTACTCAACCCCAGTTCAGAGGCTGTTGTATTTGGTGGCAGTTGATCAACTCTGGCTCCATCCTTTTGAGCAGTGCTGTCCATAGTGATCTTATTCTACTGTGTAGTGGTGTGTGAGCCAGGAGTAACACAAAAGTACTGGGGCTGCATGCACTTAGGGTCACCTTCCCTCAGTGCTCTGTAAGCATTGCCCTTGCAGTTTAGGGTTATCTTCCTTAAGCCATTCGGGAGACTACCTCTACGAGGTTCTGTTGCTGCTCGGTGATTGACCGCCATAGCTGTCGGTCAATGGGGTCAGCTGGGGTTGCTCTTATTCCTGTTTGACCTCGGGTAGGAGGTAGTATCATCACTGGCTGGGGGTGCAAGGTACTGTGCAGCTGTCTGATATACACATAGTGGCCGGTTCTGTTTCCCCTGGAGACGTTGTGCTTTTGCGGGGGTTTTACTTTTCTTTTCTTTTGTTTGCCTGATGGGGGTTGCCCTGTGTGGTTATAGGTCCACTTGTATATTGGTGGCTCTCCTCTAGGCCCTGTGATTGTACACGTTGCAAGGATTCAGGTTTTAGTTTGATTACTTGGTAGTTCTGGGATAACCGGTTAGCAGTACCTTGCCTGGGCTTCTCTTAGCAATCAGCCTAAGGGCCCTGGGAACCCCCCATTGGGGCTCCTTGGACCGATGGAAGAGTCCTCTGAGTCCCAGCTTGCTTTGTGTGAGTTTGAGGGTTGCTCTGTTCCCTTGTCTCAGGATGACAATCACTGTCTTTGCCTCTGCCAAACTGCCTGTTGGGTCAATGACACCTTTGACCCAGAGTCCTGCGAGTGGTGTTCCTTGCTGGTTCTCCAGTTCACCCAGTCTGATAATACTGTTGATCGGGCGCAGGCAGCATCTGCGTTGCATGCACGATTTAGGTTGCTGCACGTGCTAGGTTAATTGCCTTTCCAGATGATCCGTGGCTGCTCCACTTTGGTTGTAGGGACCAAGACTTGAGGGGTGGTAGTCGCTTTGACTTTGGTTTCATCTGTGCCCCCTTGTCCTGCCCCCTACTCTGATTCATCGTGCTCCACCCCCTCCCCCACCCTTCCCTGCTCCTGACTCCCACTGACCGAGGGTTTTGGAGTCGAGGCAGAGTTTTATTGGTGGTGAGACTCGGGCAGCCTCAGAGACTGCCCCATCTGGATCGGCAGCAGAGGCATTCAAGGCTGTTCCTCCTGCCAGGGCTTTCGGGTCGTGCCAGCTGGCCCAACACTTAACCAAACCACACCACACCATCACTCATCACCCACCACTGGTCCTAGTCTCACAGCCCTTCTTATGTACCTGAGCAGGGGGCCCCTTCATCCCTGCTTTTTTGGTGGACTCTGCCTTTTCTCCAGAGGCAGAGAGTTTGGAGGATGGCTCTGCCCTGGATCCTGACGTGGAAGATCTCGGGGCTGGGGATGCGTTTTCTTGGAGGGGAGGGGGCCTTGGGCCCCATTTGACTCCGCTTGGGTGTTGGTACTCTTGATGCAGGGCATGTTGTTATAAGAGGAGGGGGTTTTCGTATCCCTCCCCTTCCATATACAGGTTTGATATGAATTCGGCTCCTCCCCAAATTCGGTTCCGGGTTCCATTGTGTTCTTCGGTTCCCTCCATCTGGAGGTTTTCGGCTTCCCGCATCCCATCTCGTGAGATATGGGATGCGGGATATCTCCTGCGAGACCCGGATTATGCCTTGATAATGTCTTGTAATTTTGGGGAACCCAAAAACATCAGGAAAAAAGGGACCAAAGTACTCAAGGGAGCCTGGAACCGTATCCAGGGAGGGCTTGATGCCATATCAAACTCGTACAAGATGGGGGGGATATGAAAACCCCCACCCCCTGCAACAACAAGCCCCGCTCAGAGGGTACCAATACCCAAGCGGGGTCAAACAGGGCCCAAAAGCCCCCCAAGTTAGCCTCTCCCCTGCCCTGGGAACCTCCACACCAGGACCAGGGGCTGAGACGTCCTCCAAACCCTCTGCCTCAAAAGAAAAGGCAGAGGCCGCCAGTAAAGCTGGAACGAAGGGGGCCCACTGGTCAGACCCAGAAGCACTGGTTGGAGGAACAGGCTCAAATGCCTCCGTTGTCATACCGGAAGGAGCATCCCCTGAAGCTGCCTGAGTCTCACAATCAACTAAACCCTGCCCCAACTCCGAAACCCTCAGATGCTTCGGAGCCACAAGCAGGGGGGAAGGGGGAGGGGGGAGAACAGGATGAACATTAGCAGGGGAAGGACAAGGGGTGCACATGAAACCAAAGTTGAGGCGACTAACACCCCCCAAGTCCGAGTCGCTATAACCAAAATGAGGCAGCCTTGGGGCAGCCAGGTGAGCAACCAACCCAGCATGCTGCAGCAACTTAAAACGCGTATGCAATACGGGTGCATGCAGCTTCGGCTCATGCACAAGATATCAAGATCAGTGGATTGGATGAACTGGAGTACAAGAAAGCAACACCACTTACAGGATTCCTGGTCGAAGGTGTCACCGATCCAACAGACAACATGACGGAGGCACATCTGGTGATTGTCACCCTAGGACAAGGGGACAGAGCAACCTTCAAACTCGCACGAAGTGAGATGGGACCCAGGGGACGCATCCATTGAACCACTGAGCCCAAGTGGGGGTTTTCAGGGCCTTTAGACACTGCTAAGGGAAGCCCAGGCAAGGTACTGCTAACCCGTGCACCTATACTACCAAACAAACTGTTAAAGGCTGAACACCTGGGATGTGTACACTCACAGGGGACCTATTGGAGGACCATCAATCAATCAATCAATATATATATATATATATATATATATATATATATATATATGTCGTACCTAGTAGCCAGAACGCACTTCTCAGCCTACTATGCAAGGTCCGATTTGCCTAATAAGCCAAGTTTTCATGAATTAATTGTTTTTCGACTACCTAACCTACCTAACCTAACCTAACCTAACTTTTTCGGCTACTAACCAAACCTAACCTATAAAGATAGGTTAGGTTAGGTTAGGTAGGGTTGGTTAGGTTCGGTCATATATCTACGTTAATTTTAACTCCAATAAAAAAAATTGACCTCATACATAATGAAATGGGTAGCTTTATCATTTCATAAGAAAAAAATTAGAAAAAATATATGAATTCAGGAAAACTTGGCTTATTAGGCAAATCGGGCCTTGAATAGTAGGCCAAAAAGTGAGTTCTGGCTACTAGGTACGATATATATATATATATATATATATATATATATATATATATATATATATATATATATATATATATATATATATATATATATATATATATATATATATATATATATATATATATATATATATATATATATATATATATATATATATATATATATACAGTATATATATATCTATCTATCTATCTATCTATCTCAGAGGTACCAACTCCAAGGGGCAGACCCCACCAGGCAGGTAAAACAAAAAAAAAACCCCGCCAGAGCACAACGACCCAGGCAATACAGAGCCAGTCGCTGTATTATGGTGAAAACAAGCTGCACAGTATTGTACCTTGCATTGAAGAGTACCAGTGACAAAAACTACCTCCTACCCAGAGACAAATAGTGATGCATGAAACACCCCCAGCCGACCCCAAGGGCGGGCAATCACCGAGCAGCAAAAGACCCCACAGAGGCAGACCACAAACGACTTGTGGAAGAGAATCCCAGGCCACAAGGGCAGTACTTACAGGGCACCTAGGTAAAGTAACCCTAGGTGCATGCAGCCCGAGTACTTGTGAAATTATTCCTGGCTTGCACACCACCATTGGACAAGACCACACCACAAGGCACAGCACTGGAAAATGTCTGGAGCCAGAGTCACCACCAGGTCTCATAGAAGCCACAGAACTGAAGGTGTGGATAGCTGGGGAGGAGGACTGGGGCTTCCCCTTCCCTCTCCCAGAGAGGGGAAAGCTGTGCGGACAGCGGCGCGTTGATGGTTGTGATGTCATGCTCGTTTGCTAGTTTTTGGTTTGGGGAAGTTGTATCCAACAGTTTGGCTTTCAGTAACAATATTTTAATCAGATAGGGTTCATTTTGGGGCGCCAACCTTTCTGGGTGCCTGACCTGGTCGATAGCAGACATAGAATGCTTCCAACCACCTAAGGGTTTCCATAGGCCATTGCTCCTTGTGCCTCTCAGAGGGGAGGGGGGGGGCCAGGTTCTAGCTCGTGGTACCCAGTAGGCCTAAAAACTCCATTCGCTTTGACTGATGCCAAGGTCTAATACATTCATATCAGCCCAGATAGCTCTGGGGGAGCTGAAGGGGCTCCCCCCAGAAAAGCGCAAAAACAATGAAACTCTTTACAAGAATTCAAGTGCTATTATCACTAAGCGGGTGGTCTGGTAAACTGAACAAGGTCGCCCATGCCACTAAGAACCATGCACTCCATTGACCAATTTGTGTATCGAGTCGAGGCAAAAGTCATAAGTCAAGTCAAATTTTCAAACAAAATTGGGTCGTAACTCAAAAAATTTGTAAGTAGGGGCATTCGTAAGTCGAGGTTCCATTGTACACTGTGTGTGTAAATTATATACAACTTTTTATATTTAAGGCAATCAGGTAGCCTGTAGACTCCCAAATGGCCCTAGCATGTACAGCCCTATCACAAAATATCATCACTGAAACTGACAAATACCCCACTTTTAAATATGACAAGCACATTTTGACACTTTCCTTAAATTTACCTTATGTTACCAAATAAATATAAAACCTCAGGCATGTCAAATATCTAAATGAACTACCAATAAAACTAGGCAGTTAAAAATGCATAAAAATTACTAAAATAAACAAGCCGGCTAATAATACTTAAAGTAACTAACAATAAATTAACAAGCTTTAAATCATATACTACATAATATTACTTAATAAATTATTCACTCACCACCTTCTGTAGACTCGCATGAGTTCAGAACTGAATTGTATTTGTATCCAAGAGGACAGGTACATTTTGCAGCACTACAGTAGGGTTGTGGAGTCAGATTACTGCTGTCTACCGTTACAGGAGAATGAGAAACCTATTTAAAGCAACACATAACTGGCATATTAAGCTTTTAAAAAATGTCTTAGACCAAGTATAAATATGTTTATCAAAACTGCCAAAGTTACATTCAGTATAATGGGAGGAAATAATGCCATTTAACCCTTGAACTACACTCAACGAGCCATCTCGATTGACAGGTGGTGCATTCACAGAGAAAACTCGTTTGTAGGTATACCTAGAAATGGAATATAATGGAATTCCATTATGTATGTAATGGAATATAAAAAAGATTTTCATATAATGGAAGACAGTGAATTATGTAATTGCAGGAATGTATGTCTAACTTTTATTTGTATTAATTTAAATTTTTGTTTGGTTAATTAAATATCAGTTTGTTTGATTTTTGTCAATGTTAATTTGTGTTTAATTTGCCAGGGTTTACAAGTAGGAAGAGTTGAGTACGAGAGAACATTTGTTTATGATTGCAAAGTAGATTTCCCATACGTTTTCGTGTAGTGTAGCCCACACCACCTTCACCCTTAGAGGGGACTTGGCTTTTGCCATGTAAACATGGGTGTGTCTTGGTTAGCTGTCAAGTGTCCACCACCATTGTGAGGTTATCACAGCTAATCTGGTGAGTAGATAAATATTTTTATGTAATATATGTTCTATTTCATGTGTATTTGAATTAAATGTAATTGCACACATCCTGCTTGTTTACTCGGGTCCCGAAATTCAAAACAGTTGTCATTCACCTGGTGTTCCCTTTCGTATCTGAAGTGTATTTTTATATATTCTTTTTGGGTATGCATTCCTAATTTTAAATAACGTACATATAAAATGTAAGCAAGAAGGAGGCAATAACAAAATTTTCATGTAAGCAAGAAGGAGGCAATAACAAAAATTAATTCCGCCACCTCTCACAAACAAAGAAGCAAATACATATGGTCACAACGTTTAAAATCATCATAATGTTTAATACTAAAAACATATTGTTTCATAAATCATATTTAAAGTTATCTGTAGAGCATTTCGGTAATATTTAAGTCCATAGTATTAATACAGGAACTTACCTCCTGGCACTAATGATGGCTCTTTCCCTGGCTCGCAAATATTAAGTCGACTGTTGTAGGAGAGAGTTCCGGGGCACCAGCAAACACCAAACAGACACTCTGGTGCTGCTAACTGCAAAATTTAAATAATGTTATTAAACATCAGTGTGTGTAATTACCTAAGTAATTACCTAATGTATATATGTATGTATGTATGTATGTATGTATGTATGTATGTAATTACCTAAATGTAGCTACAGGATGAAAGCGACACTCGTGGTGTTCTGTCTTCCCAGTACTCTGTTTGTATGTATGTATGTTGTACTTAAGCCCAAGATGCCTAACATGCCAAATTTTCCTGAAATTGTATATTTTCAAACAAATTTTCTTATGGGATGATAAATCTTACCATTACATTATACATGATTTGATTTGTTTAGTTACGGAGTCAAAACTAAAATAGAAATTAAAATTTTATCAAACCTAACCTAACCTACCTAATCTCACCTAGCCTAACCTAACAAAATTATGACAGTAAATCATGTTCCTATTATTATTATCATTGTTGTTAGAGAAGAACCAATTTGGAAATATTTGAAAATAACAAAAATCATTCTGCCTCTTAGACAAATCGGACCTTGCATACTAGGCCAAGTACTCTAGTATGGTTCTGACCATTAGGGATGTAATTACCTAAGTGTAGTTACAGTATGAGAGCTATGCTTGTGGTGTCCCATCTTCTTAGTACTCTGTGTCATATAATGCTTTGAAACTACTGATGGTTTTAGCCTCCATCACCTTTTCATTAAATTGGTTCTGTCTACCACTCTGTTTGCAAAAGAAAACTTTCTAATATTTTTCAACACCTTTGTTTCCTTGGCTTGAATCTCTGTCTTCTTGTTCTTGAAGATGTTGTTTTCAGCAACTCTGTTTTCCAGAACCAATTCCAGTCCATCACTATCAATCCCAGTTCCTGGTGAATACCAATTCTAGCCCCCTTGTCACTATCAACCTCAGTCAATGGTCTGTACAAAACTCACCTCCCAAATAAAACTGAAAAGAGTATACATATTTGTTTGCGAGTGTTGCGGGTGTGCCAATGGGTGCTCACTCATGAGTAACACTTGGCCGATTTTTGGGTTTGCTGTGGGGGACGTGCTTTTTGACCTTATATGTATACTGTATATCTTTTTGACCTTTTATGTATACTGTATTTCCATTTAGGTAATTTTATTGCAAACAACTTGATACCAAGGTGAATGACGTAGCATGAGAATTGAGGTGAGAAAACTTAAAAAGAGTATACAAATTTTAGTACAAGCCTCACCCATGGCTCGCTCATGGGTGAGGCTTGGCCTGATTTTTTTGTTTGGTGTGGGTGGCATGCTGGGCTTTTTTACCTTTTTGTTAAGGGATACATATATCCTTTTACAGAATTCTATTGTGAACAATTTGATACCAAAATGAATGACATAAACACGAAAATTGAAGTGAGAAAACTTAAAAGAGTATACATATTTTAGTGTGAGCACACGTTCAAGGGAAAACGCTCGGCCCACCTTGGGGTGGGCTGGGGTGCGCACTCCAGGCTGCTCAAAAACCCATGCTACTTTGATTTTACAAGATTGTTCTCTGTGAGATGTTGTATGATTCCCTGCCTGAATCGTGGATTCTCTCCATGAGCTGGCAGATGTGCGATGTTAGGCTGATCGGATGGTAGGTCTCTGCCGAGCTCTTTCTGCCTTTTTTTAAAATGGGGGTAACATTTGCATATTTTCAATCCAGGGGAACTATCCTTTGGTCCAAGGATTTTCTGAATAGGAGTTTCTGTGGTATGCATAGTGCACTTGTCAGTTCCTTTAAGACTTTTGATTGAACGCCATCCACACCTGGGGCTTTTGAGTCTTAGTTTTTCAATGCTCTTCCTGATTGTGTTGCATGTAATGGGAATATACCTTAATTCATTCTCTTCACCTCCTTCAAACATTTGTGTGGGGTGATGGGATGTCATTCAATCTTTTTAGTGTGAACATTGATGTAAAGTATTCATTCAGAGTGTTTGCTGCCCTTCTATCATCCAATATAACTTGGTTAGTCTCATCTTTTAAGGGTCCTACAGAGTCCTTTGTTTTGGTTTTACTACATATACATGCATAGAATGATTTTGAATCGTCCTTTATATTTTGTATTAAGTATTACTCTAAGTCCCTTTCACTATCAAACCCAGTTTCTCTCACTATCGATGACAGTCCCTGTTCAACATCAAACCAAGTTCATGGTAAATACCAAACACAAACCTTAGTCAATACCATAACCAAGTCCTTGGTCAATACCAAATCCAATCCTTGGTCAATACTAAACCCAGTCCTTGGTCAATACTAAACATTGTCCCTCATACTCTTTAGCTGAGATAGCCAAATGTTGTCGCCCAATGCAGATTTCTCATTCACTGCAATATTTGACTTTTGTTTACTATTACAGAAAAACTTCTGTATATACAGTACTGTGGCATTTGACTGTACTATCATACCAGCACCCACCTCTTCTCAGTAATATATTTGACTATAATTATCATATTTTGAGTGCCCAATATTATTTGCACTAGGATGATGAGCATAGATATGACCTGATTTTATTTTTACCTCTGGCTGATGTGGCAGTTGGGTTTGGTGGGGCTGCTCTGTCTGATATGGTTGCTGAGGCTGCTCTGTTTGATATGGCTGATGTTGTTCTGGCCGCTGATGTTGCTCAGGCTGGTATGGCTGCTGAGGTTGCTCTGGCTGATATGTCTGCTCTGGCTGATATGGTTGTTCAGGTTGATGAGGCTGTTCAGGCTGAGGTGGTTGATAGGGTGGTGAAATAGGGTCAGCAGTATCACAGGTGTAGCCATCACCTTTGAAGCCTAGGAGACATTGACATTTAAAGCCATCTTCTGTTCTTGTACACACACCATATGGTGAGCAATTCCTAGCTGTCTCACAGCTTTCTGCAGGAAAGACAGCAAGAATGGAAGCACTTAAATATAAATATATTTATCTGTGTTGAAGTTACAATTATGATAATGTTACAATGGTTAGTGTATGCTTAGAATTTGCAGTTATCATAAAAATAAGTTTTTTGTAAAATTATATGTTTATTCAGGTAAGGTACATACATACAAGTGATGTTACATTAATGGATCAATATATAGATAGAGCTAGTACATACACTGCCTAAAGCCACTATTACGCAATGCGTTTCGGGCAAGAAAAACATTAATATCTAGAACTTAATACTAATTGAGCATAAAGAATAAAAAGTGTTGAAAACAAATACAAATAAAGATAAAAAAAAAGGGGGAACATGACTGAAAAAGCAGCACAAATACAATAGGTTGACAAACAGTGTTGATTAAAAAAAAAAATAATAATAATAATAAAATAAAATAACAGACATGGGTTGACAATAAAGGAGTGAGGTGGGTTACAGGGAATTTATTAGGTATTGTTTAGTTTTTATCTTAAACTGGTTATGGGATGTCATTCAATCTTTTTAGTGTGAACATTGATGTAAAGTATTCATTCAGAGTGTTTGCTGCCCTTCTATCATCCAATATAACTTGGTTAGTCTCATCTTTTAAGGGTCCTACAGAGTCCTTTGTTTTGGTTTTACTACATATACATGCATAGAATGATTTTGAATCGTCCTTTATATTTTGTATTAAGTATTACTCTAAGTCCCTTTCACTATCAAACCCAGTTTCTCTCACTATCGATGACAGTCCCTGTCATCGCCATGACATCGCCATGACACCATGACAGTCCCTGTTATAAATTTGCATGCAGGAAGCAAGGAAACTGCAATAAACATATATATATCTAAGTCTCTTTATGTTTCAAGAACATTGAGAGGAAGTGTGGTGAGTTTGTCCCTGAGTTTGTGGACTCGTGGCTACACAAATTTGCTGACTCACCCTGTAGGGAAGAGGGCTGTGGTGTTCAAACTGGAGTGTTTATATTTGTTAGCTGTTTCACTTTAGTTTACTGGAAATCAAGACAGCCATGTGTGAAGTTTGCATAAAATAGTTCTGGGACCTCATCGGGTAAGTGTCTGCCAGGCCTTGCAGCCCGGGTGGTTGGTGGGAGATTGCCTTGTTTGCCTACCGACCATGTCGGGGGCCACTCTAGTGCCCTCTACCCTGTGACATCACAGATTCACAACCCAATGTTTTGATTTGTCATGAGACTAGAGTGTTCATTAATTTTGTTGGATATATCTTCAAAATCTAAGAACATCCGTGCACCATGTCAGATCCAAATGTACCCATTGTGTCAGTGAAAGCAACAACAAGTGGGATACATAAAAGAACAAGGTCAGTGATAACATTTGAGAAGAAAGTTGAAATAATTAAGAAGGTGGAGAGTGGAGTCCTGAAAAGTGTCGTGTGCGCTGAATATGGCAATAGCAAGAGCACTGTTTTTTATCTTCTTAAGGTTAAACCTATCATTTTTTACTATTTGTCTAGAAGTGAAAGTGATAAGGCAATATGAATAGAAAGGTAGTAAGTAAAGTCCATCTACCAGTCCACGTGGTGTAGTGGTAAGACACTCGCCTGGCATTTCGCGAGCGCTTTGTCCTGGGTTCGTATCCTGGCCGGGGAGGATTTACTGGGCATCAATCCTTATTGGGGAATATAAACCTGGATATGCTGTAGCCTCTGTTTACGAGATGGAGAAGGATGGGAAGCTGCCCTTTCTAGATGTAACAGTCATGGAAAGGAGCGGAGTTTTCCACACTGCAGTCTACACTAAGGAAACAAACATAGGAATGTGCCTGAATGCCAACAGTGACTGCCTAGACAGGTACAAGAGGAGTGTTGTTAACGCTTATGTTGACCGTGCTCTCAGCCACAGCTCAGAATGGAAGCAGGTCGACAAAGAACTCTGTAGGGTAAGGCAGGTCCTAGTCAACAACGGCTTCTCCAATGGGTTCGTGGAAGACATCATAAGAAGGAAAGTGAAACGCCATGCAACCTCTGAAGAGACAACTAACACAACACCTATACCCCCTATTAGGCTATTTTACAGGAAATTCTTTTCCACAGCTCATAAAACGGAGGAAAGGGTCCTGAAAGATATTGTTAGTAGAAACGCTATCCCTACAGACAAAAATCAGAAGATACAACTGACAATTTACTATAAAACCAAAAAAATGGCCAGCCTACTCATGAGAAACTCTCCAGACACAAAGCAGAACGCTTTAAGAGACCAACATCGTCTATGCCTTCAAATGCCCTCTTGGGGACTGTAAGCCTCAAAAAACTCAGTATATAGGCAAGACAACAACATCTCTTTCCAGGCGTTTAACGATGCATAAGCAACGGGGCTCCATTAAGGAACATATAGTCTCTTCCCACAACCAAACCATCACCAGAGAAATCTTAGCAAACAACACAGAAATCATCGATAGATACAGCGATAGCAGGCGGCTTGACGTCTGCGAGGCACTACACATCAAGAAGTCAACACCAGCAATCAACAGCCAATTATTGCACAACTATATTCTACCCACCTCAAGACTCCGCTCCAATATAGAAGCATCAAGAAATATGGACCAATAGGCTTTCTACAAACACTTCTATTCAATACCCATTGTCTGTGTTCTGTCTTGTGTTGATACTTTTAATACCCTATTAATATCCCCTCTTGTTCTGTCTTGTGTTAATGCCACATCACCCCTCCCACCTCACTCAAATGTAGATATAAAATCTGAGATACGTAAGTTCTATTCAGTTGTGTATTTGTGAACTAAAGTCTTTGAAAATGTAATAAGTTTTACGAAACGCGCCCGTGTCGCGTCAGACTAGAAATAAAAATGAATTTTGGAGAATTAATTTTTGATTTACCTCCAACAGTGAAGCGTAATGTATGAAAGATTGAGAAAATTCGTGTTAGAATTATTAATCTTACTTTTTCGGTCATATTTAATAATATATAATATATATATATATATATATATATATATATATATATATATATATATATATATATATATATATATATATATATATATATATATATATATATATATATTATTAAATATGACCGAAAAAGTAAGATTAATAATTCTAACACAAATTTTCTCAATCTTTCGTACATTACGCTTCACTGTTGGAGGTAAATCAAAAATCACTTCTCCAAAATTCATTTTTATTTCTAGTCTGACGCGACACGGGCGCGTTTCGTAAAATGTTTTTACGAAACGTGCCCGTGTCGCGTCAGACTAGAAATAAAAATGAATTTTGGAGAAGTGATTTTTGATTTACCTCCAACAGTGAAGCGTAATGTACGAAAGATTGAGAAAATTCGTGTTAGAATTATTAATCTTACTTTTTCGGTCATATTTAATAATATATGTCTACAGGAAAGACTGCTACCAAAATATACTAATATATATATATATATATATATATATATATATATATATATATATATATATATATATATATATATATATATATATATATATATATATATATATATATATAATCACTAAGAACTCTTTGACCCGGCCAGGATTCGAACCCATGCCGTCCAGGATCACCCCTAAACGTACACAGTACCGTGACCACCGCACCAATGATCGTTAGACGATCATTGGTGCGGTGGTCACGGTACTGTGTACGTTTAGGGGTGATCCTGGACGGCATGGGTTCGAATCCAGGCCGGGTCAAAGAGTAATTAATGATATATGGCTTGCGCGTTCATGCAGCTTTCTCACACACACACACACACACACACACACACACACACACACACACACATATATATATATATATATATATATATATATATATATATATATATATATATATATATATATATATATATATATATATATATATATATATATATACAGTGGAACCTTGATTAACGAGCGGCTCTATTAATGAGCATTTCCAGTAACGAGCAAGCCACTCGCAGCAAATTTGTCTCTAATGACGAGCTTCACCTCTATTAACGAGCAAAACCACATGGTGCTTCCTAGCGTCTCGCGGGTTCTCGCAAATTCTCGGACGCCTCCGACGCCAGTGTAATTGTTGTATCGCACACAACAAGCATCCCTCTGGATTTTTTTGCGCTTTTCTTTGGGTTTTTAGTGGTTTTGTGACTACAATTTGTAACGCATGATGTCACCAAAGAAGCTGCTTGCTAAAGATAGTGTTGTCAAGAGGAAGAAAGACACAATTACTGTGGATTTGAAGAAGGAAATTATAGCAAAGCATGAGTGTGGTGTCTGTGTGACTGATCTCACAAGGGAGTATGGCAGGTCCTCATCAACAATTTACACCATTAGTAAGGAAATGAGGAGGTAAGGGAGGATGCTGCCTCTTCCACTGAGATCAGGGAAGTGTTGGAAATGTTTGAAAAGGTGAACGCATTCTTGGAAAAGCTGCCGTGATAAAGCAGTGACAACCCGGTGTGTGAACATGTTTAATTAATTTAACACTTTCACAGGTATGTCACTTGAGTGCGACATATTGTTTTCTCTTGAATGCACCCAAATGCCGCGCTCAAGTGTCATTTGAACAAATATTTATAAAATCCAATTCTTATCCGATCGACTTAAGGATAGTATAAACAAGTTTGCCATGAAATTTCTGTTTTCTCTAATAGCCACATAGCCTATTTGGGAGAACTGAATTGTATTGTATCTTCATGGTAAGACTATTGTATTGTTGACACGACGCGTGCAATCGACATTGTTTTTTATTTGGTGCTGGTCTAATCCATCCTTGTGTGACATTTTATACATATGTTCTTTTAGAACATTCTATTGCGAACACACTGGTACAAAAATGAAATACAAACATCAAAAATTAAGGTCAGGACAGTGAAAAGAGAGGCAACACTTCTCAGTGTTGCCTCTCGATCGCCTGAAACGCCTAGCGCACTTGGGGCAAGTTTTTTTGTTTACCACGAGTGTGAAAGTGTGACAATTTGCTGTCTTGTTTTAGGAACATCCTAAAACAAAGAGAAAAGCAATTGTCAATAGATACGTTCTTTGCAAAAGTAGAGAAAAGAAGAGCCAGTGATAGTGAACCACAACCCGGTCCCAGTGGGGTGAAATTCCCAAGAAGAGAGAGAGCCCGCCTGACTCAGGTGGATTCTCCTTCCACACCATAACCCCTCTCCTCCTTTTCACCCCCCCCCCCCATCGTCTCCCTCAAGTCAGCAACGACTCTTCATAAGGTAAATTAAACATTAGAACAGTACAACAAAACATTTATAATTACATATGCAGTATTATATTTACATAAAAAAATGTCATACAAGTATGGATGTTTTTGGGAGGGGAATGGATTAAATTTATTTCCTTTATTTTAAATGGGGAAATTTGTTTCTTACAATGAGTTTTCCAGATAACGAGCTCGGTGCCACAACGGATTAAACTCATTAATAGAGGTTCCACTGTGTGTATGTATGTGTATGTATATATATATATATATATATATATATATATATATATATATATATATATATTTATATATATATGTTGTACCTAGTAGCCAGAACGTCGCACTCGGCCTACTATGCAAGGGCCAATTTGCCTAATAGGCAAAGTTTTCCTCAATTTATATATTTTTCTAGTTTTTTCTTATGAAATGATAAATCTGTCCATTTCATTATGTATAGGTCAATTTTTTAAAATTTGAGTTAAAACTAATGTAGATATATGACCGAACCTAACCATCCCTACCTAACCTAACCTAACCTGTCTTAACCTAACCTAAACTAACACAACTAAGTCAATAATTTATGTTCCTAATATAATATAATAATATTAATTCAAATAAACTAATTGGAAACGATTCATTGAAAATAAAGAAAATCACACGGCCTATTAGGCAAATCGAGCCTTGCATAGTAGGCCGGGAAGTGAGTTCTGGCTACTAGGTACGACATATATATATATATATATATATATATATATAGTGTGAATATAGTGTAATAACAGCAAAAATATTTGTTTATTGTATTATGAACATAATAAATGAATCACTAATATGCACATCATACTTCTGAGTGTAGTGATGGTTCACACATTTTATTATAGAAATATATCACTCTATTGAATAATATTGGTGGAAAAAAAAGAGAAAAAATCAATCGGAGACATTGAAATAATTAGGTAAAATATCTTTGTGGCAACTCCTGCCTGACAACTCCGGTAGAGCAGACCACCATGGGATGTGTACTCTGTCAGTGCCTCAATTTTGCCATACTTCCTTGCCATATTGCAGCCAAAATATGTTACCTAAGATTTTTGTATTTTTTCCAGTGATCAGAAAACACATTTTAACAATCTTAAAAGAAAAACACAAAATTTAGATTTTTTCTTGCACCTAGCAGTGTTGCAGACTATAATCATAAGAGTAGTCCAGGGGGGAAGGTCAATAATTTAATTTGGAACATTTTTAATTTTGTTGCTTTTTTGTGCATGGATGGACATGCATGAACAGTTTATCAATAGCTGCATGTTAGGGGTTAACAAATTCATCAATTTATGTTTACAAGTGTGATGTACTGACCTTGTGCAGCAATTGGGTTACAAGTCTCTCCATCTCCACTGTACCCTGGGAAACACACACATCGAAAACTTCTGACTGCATCATCGTATTGACAATCAGCATAAGGGCTACAAATATCATCATCGACACAGTCACGTTGCTGAACAACTGAAGCCACTTCTGGAGAAGTAAATACTTTACTGGTTAGGCATATTTATGAAATTATTAAAACATTTCATTTTCTCTGTCATGAAAGAGACAGAGAACTCAAACTATCTGAAAATAAAAATATATATTGTTATATGGAAAACTGCACAAAAGACCAGCATTGAATGTAATGAAATGCCAATTTCTAGGTAAGCACCAATGGCTTCCTGAAGCTATTACACTAAATCAGTGCCATACTACTAGGTGTCGAATACTGTTGAATTTATGCCATGAAATTGTTGAGTTTTCTCCCAGTTTTCAGGATGACCAAAAATATACAAAACAACAAGTTTTCCAATGAGTCTCAGCCCCATGGGGCTCATAAAGCCCCATGGGGCTTTATGTACTGTTTGTACACATAGAATGTCTCCCAAGCCCCTGCCGGGAAAAGTTGAAAGGTCCTCCAGAAGGACACATCCAAGAAACCCAAACACACCCAGAAATGAACACCAGGGAGGAAGAAGAAACTGCACCCCATATCAAACTCAGACAAAGAAACCCCTTACTTTGCAACAGAAAACCCTCCGCAGAAGGAACAAGAGCCCACAAAGGATCAAAGAGATCCAAGGACCCATAGCAAGCTCTCACCCCCCGAGCCCTTGGAAACCACAGCAGAGGGCTCTGGGACATAGTCATCATCAACATCCACTGCTTGGAAGAGAGAAGTGGAGTTCAAGAGAAAGGTTTCAAATGCAGGGCTGGATGAAAAGAACACTCAGAAGCCTCAGCAGGATCAACAGGCTCAATTGCCTCTGTGCCCAAGTTGGAAGAGACAAACCCTGCAGCTGACTATGCCATGTCCCAACCTTGACCTTGTTTCAACCCGGAAACTCTCAGATGCTTTGGGGCCAGAATCAAGGGGAAAAGAACCAGAGGGAATGCACACCATGCCCGACAGGGTAGGAAAAGGAGGTGACGATGGAACCGCAGTTAAATTAACCAGCACCTCCAATTCTGGGTTGCTAAACACCAACCAGGGCTGCTCTGGGGCATCCAACCGGGCAAACAAAGTCATAGATTTAACCACTGCACTGTGCAGAGTGCCTTGTGGTGATGGATCGAGGGTGCACAGTGTCATGTAGCACTTGTAGGTATAGGGAGTGATTCAAAACTCCACCGGGTACATAGGGCTCACATCCTGTGTCTCAGGACTCCTGAAGAAAAAAATTGTCATCTTAGAAAAAAATCTTCAGCATTTTTGATGAAGGGAAGTGAACCCTGTGCACATGCAGCTCCAAGCACACATCACTCCTTCCTCACAAAGCACAAATGTGTGTTGCAACAGCCACAAAGGCAAATCACTACCCCTTAGCTGAAGCAGAACAACGTATGCAGAGCAAAAGGGAACACACCTGACAACGTCTACTATCAGCAAAGAACTAAGGGCAGAGTAGCCGGCTGACGCACTCCGCCTCCCTCCTTCCCCTAAGAGAGGGTGGAGATGGGGTGAACAAGTTTGTAATAGCCTAATGATTTTTTGATCATTTGTTTACATTGTTGGGAGAGTTCTTTTGGTGATTCTGATGCATCCATCTTTACTTATAATCAGCAGTGGTCTATTTTGTTTTGCTGACATTTTTGTTTGTTTTCTCGGTGGTGGCGAGCATGATGAAAATTCACTTATCATTCATTTTATCATAGTGCCACTGTTCTCTGCACCTCTTTAGATGGAGGTCAGGTTTTGGCTCATTGTCCTCAGTAGGCTTAAAAGAACTGACTGATGGCACCTAGGAGTATGGTACTATATTAGCATTGTAGCTTCAGGGTGCCACAAGGGGCTCATCCCATTAAATCAGATAAAAACAATAAAAGATATTGAAAGAAATAAGTAAAAATATCTTCATGACAACTCCTGCCCCCTAGGCAGGGTTGGGCTGATCACTGAGGGGATGGGGGGGGGGGTGAAAACACTGTTAACGCCCATAAATTACCAGACTTCCACTCCATCTAGATCAAAGTGAATCGCATATGATTTTTTCTCATGACCAGGGAAGGAATTTTAACATTTATAAAAAAAACAAATTTTGTTACTTCCTCCCCCCCACACACACACACACCTTGAGGTTGCTAGGGAATAATAGGCATGAAGACCAAATGTTAAGCTACAGACTAATAAATGCTGTAACAATGTGACGGTGCAAACACTGTAAACCTGCCATATCTCATGAGTCTCACTAAACTTCAAAAAGAGAAATCTAGAATTGGAATCTATACTGAATTCCACAATCATTATATAAAATTGAAAAATTCAAAAAAATCTAATTCTATTTAAATATGTAAACTTACCGTCATTGCGAACACATACAAGTCCATCTCCAGTAAAACCAGGAAGACAAAAGCACCGGGGTTTTGCCAAGCGAAGTTCACACACAGCATTAGAGTCACAAGGGATTCCTTCACAACTTGCTGCTCCTATTAAATACAGTATCGAGTTTAATAGGCTTCTGTATTAATTTAAGTTTAAACTTTGAAGAAAATGAAGCTTTAATGTTTTATTTGAAAATAATTTATGCAAAGTGTTCATAGTTACAGTACATTATTGTTTTTTGGTTCTAAGTGAACTAATATAGTGAGTTGTTAACAATTAGATGATTAACACTTTTCTAATGCTATACTGCATACACTTGATAATGTTAATCATTTGGGGCCCACCAATGTTGAAGTTAACCAAACATTCAACTTAGCTGAATTTCTTACTTAGAGTGATCAAAAATAACCAATTTACATTTTATTGTACTGTACCATGACCCAGTTACTCCTGCTTTTACCTCACACAGTTCCTTTGTTCTTATGTTCCTATTAACAGACACATGCATTCATCCATTCATTAATAATTACATACATTCATTTATATATGCATTAAATAAAACATACATTGATAAATACTGAATATTCATTATAGGTCTAAATATATTACCCTTATAAATACAGTATATTCTGGCATATAAGTCGACATTTGAAGCCTAAAACACTATCTCCAAAGCAAGTGCACTTGCCTCTGCAGCTCGGATGTCGGTTGCCTTGTTGAAGTTGTTTGTGCCAATTCTAAAGGAAGCAGTGTCTCTGTAATTTGCTTCACACCTTGATGCCAACAGGAGGTGCTCGCCCACTCTTTGAAATCCGCTTGGGCCCTGGCTCTTAGATTTTCGTCCCCCTTTTATCCATTGCTGTTTACAGAGTCTGAAGTGGTGCATTTTCTGTCTTCGTCTAGTTGTCGGCCTATGTCAGATTTACTGATTCTCCGGGGTTGGGGGGGGGGGATGTCCTATCTGGAAGGGTCATGCCTTCGCTCAGGGTTCTTTCGGTTGTTGTAAGCAAGTAGTGCCAGATTTGAGGATGGCCCCTCCTGTGAAGCCATCAGTGTCTGGTTGGCGCAGTGCTCGCTCTGAGCATCCGTGGGCGTTTTGGGTCATTTCCTCTGGCCTGCGGTGGCATTGGGTGGCTCCTCCTCCTTTGGGGGATTCGGGGCTGGTGGGGCAGGCCTCTTTTCCTGCACGCTGTCGAGTCATTCTGGAGTAGATTTGCTTGGGCGTGGTTGAAACGACGGTAACCCTCAGGGGGGTTTCCTGCCTGTTTCTGGTTCTTAAACAAACGGGACTGTGCGGACTTGTGGTTTATTCTAGACTTGTCCCATCTGAAGCCCTAGGTCTTTTGCCCTTCCTTTTGGATGACAACTCAGCCCCAGGTCCAGATGCTTTTGGAGCCAGGCACTTAGATGGTGTCCCTGGACCTCTGGGATGTGTATTGGCATGTCCCCATTCATCCGGGGTTCAGGGACTGCTCAATTTTGTTGTAGAGAGTTATGCTTACCACTTTCGTTGCCATCCATTTGGCTTGAATCTGACACCTCGCGTGTTCACATGCCTTACCCCAGGTTGTGGTTTGCATCTGTTATGGGTTTGAGTTCTGGCTTACCTCAACAGCTGGCTGGTCTGGGCTCCCAGCCAGTCCGCATGTCTGCTCGCTAGGGATTTGGTTCTTTCCCAGCTCGCCGGGTTCAGGTTCTTGATGAACTGGAGGAAGTCCCATTTAGTCCCCTCTCAGGTTCGGACTTGGCTGGGTCTTGTATGGGGGTCTCGAACCATTTCCTTGTCTCTCCCACCTGCAGTGTTGCTGCAGCTAGTCCCATCTTCAACTAGTTTTGGAGGGCACCAGGGTCACTCATCGACTGCTTGAGCAGCTGTGTGGGAATCTGAACTTCACCGTTCTGGTCTACTCATCGGGTTGGATCTGGCTTTGGCGGCTGTTCTGGTTCCTTCGGAGACATCCTTTCTGCCGCTCTCGCAGGGTTTGGACCCCAGGGGGCCTTGTGTTGGCTGCTGCATCACTGGCTCCCTCTTTTTTTTTGGGGGGGGGGAGGTTTTAATGCCATGACGCCTACTCGAGCCCTCGCTCGATGTGTTCACAGATTTGTCGTCTCTTGGCTGGGGCTCTGTGACCAGTGCTCACCAGGCCGGCCAGGGTCAGTGGGGTCCGTCCTTTTATTGGCTCACAGCACGGTGCGAGAGTTCGAGGCAGTGTGACATTTGCTTCAGAGGGTTCACGTCATTTGCGGATCAATGATTCAGCTCCATTCGGACTGCTTTCTAGTGGTTCATTGTTTGAACCATGGGGATTTGATGCAGTCCTTGGTACTATGGGGCTGGTCGCTTTGGGTGTTTCATCTGATGAGTTCTCAGGGTTTGGCTCTCCAGGCGGTTTATATCCAGGGAGTGTCCAACATCCTGTCGGACGGCCTGTCCCATTTCATTACCCTGTCCACGGAATGGACGGTCAGCGCCGACTTGTTCCATTGGCTCTGCCGGACTGTCAGGTGCCTGGAGGTGGACCTCTTCCCATCAGCCTGGTCGAGGCATATTTCGGTATATGTAGCGCCCTTCCCTGACTGCGAGGCTGTTGGGGGTTGATGAATTTCGACTGGACTGTTCGACGTGGGGTTACCTTTTCCTCTTCTCCCTGGTTTGGTTGTTGCTCCAGGTTCTGGCTCGCTTGGAGACATACCACAGGAGAGTAGTCCTGTTGGCCCCTTGATGGCTGGCCCAGCCTTGGTTTCAGGAGCTGCTTGCTCAGTGTCCGAACCCGAGAGTCTTCTCGTGGCTCCGCCTCTTTCAGCAGATCGGTCTGGTCTGGTACATGGCTGGTTCGATCTTCTCCTGTTTTCATGTCTGGTCTTTTTGACACGGGTTTATCACCACTTGTATGGTGATCAGGTGGCTTCGTAAGCGAAATGTGCAGAATATTGGATCATGAGTCCTGAGGTACATGATCTTGCATCATGTGACTGCTGGCATCGTCTGCTCGTATCATGTGGCTCGATGCTGTGATTTGATTTCATCACTGTATCCACCAGAACTGCTTATTAGTTTGCTATGGTGCATATAAATGTTGATAGTGATATATATAACGTGTGTGTGTATGTAGCATAATAACAGCAAGAACACTGTTTTTTATCTAAGAATATATGTGTCACTAAATATGAGCCCCATATTTTTGAGAATACTGATGTTTCACACACTTAAGTATATAAATTCCACAATTTACACACTACTGAATAATATTACTGTACTGCAAAACACTAGACATAAAACTATTCACAGACACTGAAATAATTATGTAAAAATGTATTTGGGGGCAGCCCCTGTCACACTCAGCTGTTGGCCGCTAGGCTGACCTTGGATTCTTGTTCTGTGTATAAACTCTCAATATACGACCTTTATGGGTCATTATGGTACACAAAAATGTAGATAATTTATTTATTTATTTATTTATTTATTTATTTATATTTATATACAAGAAGGTACATTGGGATTGTGAGGATACATAGCATAGTAATTTCATTCTTGTAAAGCCACTAGTACATGCAGCGTTTCGGGTCCTTAATCTAAGAAACTTATAAGTAGGTAAAATTATATATATATAATATATGTATATAGTGTAATAACAGCAAAATCACCATTTGATTTATCTTAGAATATAATACACGTGTCACCAAATATGAGCTCCATAATTTTGAGTATAGTGATATTCCACACATTTTCCTACTATATAAATTATTCAGTTTAGCTGAATTTGGATAGGTGAGAGCATACAGTATTTCTAAATAGTTGCACAGTTAAGTTGTTAACACAAATCAGCAATTGATGCATAACAATAATATTGATACATTAGTTCTTCACTTAGGAGTACAGTATTACTGTTCTAGTAACAGTTTTTACTGCTAAACTGAATTCAGGCATGCTATTCTTGTTAGTGGCTTTGTGAGAATGTACCAATTAGTCACAAAAACCTATAATAACACAACCAATTGTACTATATTGTATATAAATATACAAAAATAAATATAAAAAACTCACTTTCACAGATTGCTCCATTTCCAGTAAATCCTGGATTACATGTGCAGGTGAAGCTGCCGGGGTTGTTGACACAGGTGGCATCCACATGGCAGTTGTCTCGTCCTGTGTCACATTCATTTATGTCCAAACAAATCTCTTCATTCAATGTTGCATCGTAAACCTCTTCATGCCCTCGTTCACATACACATCTATGAGGGGGTCAGAGGTGATTATGATACCGAATTACTCTGATTTGACTCTTATAATTTAAATCCAACCTTTGATGTTTTTTCTTCTTAATACACACAAAATACTGTCTCCAAATGGGACTTACTTTATTGTGTAATAAAGAAGGAATACTCCAGTAGTATAGATTAAGAATAGTGAGAGAAAAACAAATTCCAACACCAATGAATTACTCTAGGAAATTACCTTAATACTTAAAGAATGCTGTAAGCAAATAAATTTACACAGGTAAAGAGAATAAAAAATATGATAGAATAAGATAAAAATTAAGGCTTATTTATATCAATCAAGCTATACTGATCTACAATACTACTTTGACATCTTATTGCTGTACTTCAAAAAAAGCCCCCCTCCTAATCGAGTTGGCCACAGCAGAAGTTTCTTCACAAGGTTCTATCACTACACAAACCCGAGTAGTACAGTCAGATTCGTTCTCGACGCCCAATCGAGAATTCTGGGTTTGAATCCTGGATGGGACAGAAATGGTTGGGCATGTTTCCTGTCACCTAATGAACCTATTCATCTAGTAGTAAGTAGGTACTCAGGAGTTAGTCAGCTTGTTGTGGGGTTGCAGCCTGGGGGAAGCAGTAATTTGACCCTGGGGGACCCTCGATAAAAACCTAAAGTACTGTATATGAACACACACTGACTTCCTGTCCCCCCCTGACACAGTGAATAATTATTATTATTATTATAAACCTTCACTTTTTCAAACTCTCTAATCCTTTCCCAGGCTTCCTCTATGCTTTTTTTCAGTTTATTATGCCGCTCTTCCCTTATGAGATACAGGTGTCTGCCTGCCTTTACCTTATGATCTTTCCTTTTCCACCTTTATACACTCATTTTTGTATACAATTCTCAGGCACTCTACTAACATGTCCCTCCATCTCAGTGAATTGTGCTTTATCTACAGCACAACTCCATATTTCATACTCTTCACCACTTGCACTCATACCACATCTATCATATAATTTATCATTGCTATACCCATGACCCATATTTACAGCAGCTGCTTTTATAAATGAGAATTAATTTCAACAAAGTATAAAATAATAAACAAAGCTTCTGTGTGTTTAGTTTTATGTTGTGACCCAATTACTAAAAAAGTTTTCAAAAGAAATTCCTGGCATACAAAGACCCATTCCAAACTCAGTATTTCACCATGCTCCTACACCCAAGCTGACTTACAGGGAGGCCTTTCAACTACATGCAATAGAAAGTTTACCACAACCTGGAAAGCGTGCAATAGGCCAGCGTGAGTGCATTGTTTGTAAGACCACACAAGAGAGGCCACAGAAACATAAATTGGTGCTAACATGGTGTGAAACGTGTGCCGTCCCTTTGTGTCATATCAAGTGCTTCAGAGAGTATCACACTCTCCAGGACTTCTAAATGTCTAATAATGGTGCAAAAACCTGTCCATATTGAGTGAGTGCATGTATATATTGATGAAAAACTGGAATACATATTATATTTTTAGTTAATGAAAACATTTGTGTGTGCATAATTGTGACACAAATATGTGAGTGTGTATTGAATGTATGTAAGTTGTATTATAATACAACATCAAATGATAATATATTGAATAATATCAGTGAAAACAATTGTGGTAAAATATGTCATATACACTGTTAATAATGCCCCGAAAATAAATTTGTGGCACTCTGGCTGCTTGAATGATGCACGTGACGCCGCTAGGATGCACACTGCATGAGTGAGAAAATGTTATGACGTCATCATCAGATTTCTTGGCTCATTCACATCATTGGTAAGTAAAATTATTTTTTTTTCCCTGTGGTTAGGGAACACATTTGAACACATAAGAGGCGATAAGAAAATTCACTTTCACAAACAGAGTGGTAAACAGTTGGAACAAGTTAGGTGGAGGCCAAAACCATCAGTAATTTCAAAGAGTTATATGACAGAGAGTGCTGGGAAGACGGACACCACGAGCGTAGCTCTCATCATGTAACAACACTTAGGTAATTACAAGAAAAAAAATAAAACTTTGATTTTTTTCTTGCATACAGCAGTGTTGATGGCTATTAATAGCTGAGCCCCCCAGGGGTTAATTAACTGAATTTATACAGTTATTCAACTGTATAAATCTCTGATGCACCCCCCATTTGGCTTACTGCATCCAGGCATGGAGACTTCACTCTCAGGACATAGCTGCTCTGGAGAAAGTGCAACACCAGGTAACAAAAGTCATTCCAGAGCTAAGTCATCTCTCGTATCAAGAACAGTTGAGGGTCACAGGCTTATGAAGACTGCAAACCTGGCATAACAGGGCAGATCTCGTTGAAACTTTTAAAATACTGAACAAGTTGGAGGATGTCAATCCCGACAATTTCTTCAAAGGTCAGATGAAACCTTTGATCCTTGTTTGTGTTACAAGCTCAACAAACCTTAATGTAGGACTGAGAACAGGAGATTATTTTTCACCCACAGAGTTATAAACCCATAAAACTGCTTACCCGCCAAAGCCACAAACTCCAAAACTCTGTTAGGTTTTAAAATCCACCTGGAAAGAATCAAGGCAAATGGGTGGGGACCCTTGACAAGCCACCAGCTTCCTATTCTCATCAAGGCAATTAGTGTTAATGACCCTTGGGTAAATCAGGTAAACTTCAAGTTCAGAAAGTCTCTGGAATGCACCTCAATCTTTCCCATACTTCTTTGATACAGTACACACTAATTTCTCATCCTTGAAAACATTATCCAGGAATGCATTCTCATACAAATCAAGGGTTTATTAGGCTGCAGACCCAAATATACAACACACACACACACACTACATTGTAATAAACCTTAGACATGTAAAGTTCATAGAATATCTATTCAGATAACATACAGTACAGTATACATATCGCCCAAAAATTTAATAATAAAGCAAAATATCTATTTATTGGAAGATTTGATCTAGATCTTGGACATTTGTATTTGTTTTCTTATTCTTATCTTTAAGGAGTAGGCCTTTGGTATACTGAATGAATAAACTAATCCTTTTATTAGCAGTTCAAGTTGTTTATAATTTTCAAGGATAGAAAATACAAATATAATGACATACCTAAAAGTATCACCATCAACAACACACTGGCTGTTTTGTCCACACTCCTGCCGTCCCTCAACACATGGGTCCACCTCTAAGAAAAGATAATGGTAATGTTATATACAACTGCTTTTCAGTTTCAGTATATCATGTAATATTTACTACTGAATATGATACAAGACAAATGTGGCCTAAACCTGTCGCTGACTCTGAGGATCAACATCCTGCAGCTAGGTCTCTGACTAGGCCTCTTGGTTGGTGGTCTGGTTAACCAATCAGTGGATGATGCAGCAAAACACATCACTAATCTGAACCTCTTAGAAGGATTCATGGAAAAAAATGACTGGGTTCGGACACTGAGCAAGCAGCATAGTAATGAAGCCCGGGGGCAGTCACCAAAGAGCCAAAAGATTCACCATTCCCATGGAGACTCCAACACCATCAGAACCCAGAGCAGCAGCCGGCCCGGAAGGAGGGGGGAAGCAGAGGCATATGAACCGCCCACCTTGCCCAGTCCAGTCGAAGGCAGTACTGCGACGACCCCATGATCAGATAATGGCACCGCAGAAGACGATGAATGTTCCGAGCCAGTGCAAAGAAGAGGTAAATATCCTGGTGCCAGAACATTTGACAAAATAGGTAACGGCATTGATGGCCCACTTTGAGGAAATGGCCAGGAGCTGGGACAGACTGTCAACAGAAGACTGGACACACCCCACAAGGTGAACCACAGAGAACCAACTCCAAGAACCCAGCAGAGAAATCCATAGAGGCCAGCTCCAAAAAGGCCCAAGCCAAGTGTGTGAAAACATACAGAGCCAGATTCAGGCCAAACAGAAGAACCTGAAAGTGGTAAGCCTGCCACCCCATGACAAAATCCTATCCAATTCCTGAACCTCGGGTGTATAGGGACATGCAAAGAAGCGACCCAGAGGTTCAGGGAAATCATCCAAGTACCTACCACAAGAGGAAGATAGATCAAAGACAGGGTGGTCATCCACAAAAAGAGGCAAGAAATAAACTGAACCAGCCTCAACAACTGAAGGAGGAACTAGAGATCTGGCAAGTCCCATTTTGGGACCAAGAAATGGTGGAAGACCCACCAAAGAGATAAAGATGTTTTAACTATGCCTGAAGCAACCCAACTCGAGGTGACCCAGTGGAGATGAGGAGTGGAAGCCTGTCTGAACAGCCCCAAATCAGTGAAGAGATTTGGGGCTATACCAACAACCAACACCACTACATGATGACAGAAAACAGCCAAAAAAGCCCACGAACTATGAGACGAGGCAAACTGAGTGAGCTGCTCCCCCCCCCCCACTCCCTCTACCCACAGACTCATCAAAGGGGCATACTAGAAAAGCCTGGTACAAGTTCCGACGCTCTGACCAGACACAGAAGAACCAGTCAAGGTTAAGTGCCTGTTGCCTGGCCACCAATTCCAATGATGGCTTACACCCAACTAACAACAGGTGCAGCCACCACCCACCCAAACTGCCTCGAAGTATAATAAAAACTCTACCTAATACATTATGCAGGTCTTGAATAGGCCAAGAAGAAAAAGTGATGAAGGACAAAAATTGAGCAAATGCATCCACAGGGAAGAGGAGTGGAAAGAAGAAGTGGAAAGGAGGAGTGGAAAGAAGGAATGGAAATGAGGAGTGGAATATGGGCAAGGGCCCAAGCCAAATCAAAACACAATGCCAGCACAGCCTACTGACACAAGGAGCACAGAGAAAAATGCAGCCACTACGTCCTCCAGAAGGGGCACACAAAGCTTACGGAGAGCCACAGACAATGCACACTGGGGCCAGAATGACAGAGAGGGCACCTGACGCGCACTATCATCAGAGGAGAACTGAAGATGGAACAGCTGGCTGACCTCTGGTTGCCTCCCTCCTCCTCTCATACACGGGAAAGGTGGGGCAAATGAGCTGGCGCTAGTTTCAGGAAATTTTGATCATTTATTTAGATTGTTAAGGGAGTTCTATAGGTGTTTCTGGAGGCTGCAGTGTGTTTCAAAACCAGCAGTGGTTTGTTTTGTTTCTCTGAGTTTCTGGGTGCCTTCCTTGGTGGTGGCATAAACTAATAATTTAAAATATAAATGCCACTGCTCCCTGTGCCTCTGTGAGGGGTCCAGGTTCTGGCTCTTGGTCTCCGGTAGGCCACAGAACTCTGCAACTGATGGAACGTAGCAGTATGAACCATTATCAGATAGTAGCTTTAAGGATCCACAAGGGCCTCCCCCCCCCACCACAGAAAAATTACTCTCCATCTAATTACAGTAATTACATACAGTATATAGTATTTGAATTTTTTACAAAACCACTAATCATAAAATCTTAAATTTTAAGCATATGCAAAACTAATTAACAATGAGTGTCAGCCACCTAACTGGTGACTTTGGTCAAAGTGAGCGAGTTATTGCCAGCACAGCTGAATGTAAGGCTAACAAAATTTATAATACAGTATCATAAATTAAAGACATATGTAATATAAAGAATAAGACAAATTTTGAAGTACATATTTGAAATAACATAAAAGATGGTGCAGATGATGAGTCACAATAATATGGCTGATGATGACCAAACTAAACATTAGAAGATTGAGTAACAATGACGTTTCGGTCTGTCCTGGTCCAGGACAGACCGAAAAGTCATCATTTCTCCATTTTCTGATGTGTAGTTTGGTCATCATACCCAATGTTTACACAAACTGTTATTAGCAGCACTGATCCTTAACTCACCTTCAAGAGGAGCCACCTTGGCGGAGAGAGCATAGCGGACAATCTCCTCTGGAGCATCATACTGAATGAAGATGTTTTCAGCCACCTGTCTCAAAATAATAAATAAAATTCTTATGCAGTAATTATACCAAACTGAATAATATATGGTTCATTTGCATAAAGGCAATTGAGGAAATATCCCTGGGCCGGCATATTTTATCATGCCCTGTGGTTAATTTAACCCTTTAACTGTGCATATCAACCAGAGTCATTACATCATTGGTGCATACATCAGTCAAAGATGGCTTTAGGTCAAGATTTACAAGAGTTAAAAAGATTAAAGATTTTATTAAGATTTAAAACTCCTGTGGGCACATGGGGCTATCACATCTGCTTCCTCAGGCCTCCAATAAACAGATGCCATCTGGGAAAAATTTGTGGGCACCCTTCCTGGGTGTGAGAGTCTCAGTACTAACACAGTAAGGTACACAGCAGCAGTATAAATGCAGTTATACTTGCTGCTAGGCTAGGCAGTAAATGAGACATGTCAAGTTTTGTGAAATTATATGATAAAGGCGCAACATTTATTTTATACCAAAACAGAGATGCAGAACTGAAAAATGAGATTGGTTCAACAATTAGTTATGAACGGGCCAGAGACCAAAAAACAAAAATGGAATCAATATGGGAAGAGGCCAAACCCTCAAATATACCAACATTACAAAGACGCTAGAAACAACTACAAAGCCGTGAAAAAAGAGATAGAAAGAAATTTAGAGAAAAGGATAATGGACAAATGTAAAACAGAACCTGGTCTATTCTATAAATTCATTAAAAGCAAATTGCAGGTAAAGGATAAAATTCAAAGGTTGAAAATGGGAAACAGATTCATGGAAAATGAAAAGGAAATGTGTGAAGCATTAAAAAACAGTTCCAAAGTGTGTTTGTGCAAAATTAAATTTTCACAGAACCAGACACAATAGGAATTCAAAAGAACAACATAGAGCACATAGAGGTGTCTAGAGACAAAGTGGAAAATATGTTCGAGGAGCTAAGTAGAACAAAGCATTGGCTATACAATAAACAAATAGTTTTGCTGTTATTACACTATATACACACACACGTTAAATATAAGCATATGAATGTTTTGTTCACCATAGCAAACCACTAAGTTAGTATGGTGAGTCCAGACAACAAGAGTGGGCTGCCACACCCAGTCAACAGACGGTACCACCCTCCCTCCTTCAACACCTTACTTGCCATCATTCCTCCTCCCACAATACTGTTTGTGCTTTTATTACATTATATACACACATTATATGCAGTATAAGTATCTACCTGTTTTATTCACCATAACTGTACAACTAAGCTGGTATGCTGTCCAAACAGCATAGTGGCCACTATACACTGCATGACACATCACACACCAGTCAACAGATGACTCTACCTCCCTCACCAAAATGGCTCCTTCCAACATACTCCATTTGCTGTTATTACACTATATGCACACACATTATATATTAGTATCTACATTTGTGTTCACCATAGTGAACCACTAAGCTGGTATGATGAGTCCAGACAATAACAGGTTGCCTCACAGAGTCAGCAGGTGATGCCACCTCTCCCTCCCTCCCTCACTAAGATTACTCCACCCACCATACTATGCACATCGCTAATTCTCTCCACAATCCTGCTATTATCAGAATCCTGTCACTAAATCCTGTAAATAAATAATTTTCCGCAAATTTATTTTGTAAAGGAACATGAGAAGTCATTTGAAGATTCTTAGATGGATGAAACAATGGCAGTGTGCTGTGGCTAGCACTGTGAACATCTTGAACAGCTGCTGCCTCTGGGGTTCTTCACTGTTTTTCTTCTCTGTGGGTAGATAACTTCAGGCAGCCAATAGAGCTCCCCACACAAAACCACTGTTGATTGTAATGACACACAGTTTCTGGGTGAGCCCTAGAGATGCCATGATACCCTCCCTCTGGTTGGCAGTTTTCATTATTCAAAGAATAATGAAAACAAAAGTACAAAAGTAAAGTACAAAGAACTGTATGGTGGTGGCCTGACTTACCCAGGCTGGCTTTCCCTTTCCCCCTGCTTGGGGTGGAGCTATTGAGTGGAGGGTTGATTGGATGAAGTTTTACTTGAATGTTTGCTTTCTGGGGGAGTTCTTTTGTGCTTGTGATGACATAGGTCACACTTTTCAACCAGACAGTATTCTCTTTTGATTCACCTACCTTTCTGGGTGCCTTCTCTGGTTGATGGAAAGATGACATATTTTAAATGTAGAGTGTTCATGGGTTATTGCTCCCTTCGCCTCTCTGAAGGGGGCCATATTTTGGCTCATGATCCCAGTAGGCTTACAAAGAACTCTGCGATTGATGACACTCAAGTAGTATGGCATTTAGTCAGTAAGATAGCTTCAGAGAGCCTCCAGGGCTCACCAAGAAAAAGATGTTTCATTACATTTAACACTGGATTTTTACATGCACCACAGAGTTGTCACATCAAAAAACTGGAAAAGGTACAAAAACATGCCACTAAGTGGCTCCCAAAACTGAAGGACAAGAGCTACAAGGAGAGGTTAGAGGCATTAAATATGCAAAAACTATAAGATAGAAGAAAAAGAGGTGATATGATCACTACGTACATAATAGTAACAGGAATTGATGAAATTGATAGGGAAGAATTCCTGAGACCCGGAACTTCAAGAACAAGAGGTCATAGATTTAAACTAACGAAACAAAGTTGCCGGAGAAATATAAGAAAATTCTATTTTGTAAACAGAGTAGTAGACGGTTGGAACAAGTTAGGTGAGAAGGTGGTGGAGGCCAAAACCGTCAGTAATTTCAAAGCGTTATATGACAAAGAGTGCTGGGAAGACAGGACACCATGAGCATAGCTCTCGTCCTGTAACTACACCTAGGTAATTACACTTTGGTAATTACATTAAACAGCTTTGCAGTACAGTAGTAAAAAATAACATTAATCAAACTAAATAAAAAATAAGGGATATATAATAAATAAGATGTTTTATTACAAACAAATATGAAAACACAATAACAAAGATAAGCAAACTATTTTTATATAGTGTAAAAAACATTACCTTCAGTCTAAGTGTATCTTGCTCATCTGGACCTCGATCCTTCCATGTACACTCATTGTAGTCAATAATAGTTTCAACAGAGAAAGGCGTGTCAATGTTTTGTCCCTTCAGACGAAATACTCTGCTAGATCGTGCCCTCTGCTGGCCTGCATAGTAAAATGTGAAAATATTTATCAGAGATAAAGATTTAAAACTCAGCATTGTTTATAATTTATTTATTTATATATATACAATGGGTTTATGAGAGTACATAGCATTAATGTTTTAACATTCTTGTAAAGCCACTGTCAGAGAATGGTCTCTCAAGATTCTCCCACAGCTGACTTGAATGGCATTGCAGTGCACAGTGCACTGATCTTGTGCACAAGCCTATCTCTCTTAACCCTAGTTAGTGACTTAGCATGTTGGGTATCTCCAGAATGCCCACTTAACCAGGAACACTTTCATAATACGGAGGCTGCCGTATGTCCAGGCAGGAAATAGATACAGGGAAGTTAAGCATACTTGCCACCAAGGGTCAGTGAGTACATTGGCTGGTGCCAGCGTGAGAGATGCCTGCGAGGCAACAGTGTGACCCTGAGGTCAACCTCAACCTCAATTGAGGAGATTCCAACGATCAACGTGGAGCAGGACCAGGTGAAGCTAGTCTGAGAAGAGACCCTCAAGGACTCTAACTTGACCTTGCACCCAGGCCCTGTATGGTTGCTCTTGTATTTTCTATTCTGCAAATTCCGACAGCTTCGTGAAGCGTCTGCCAGATGTACATTGGTGACGTATGCATTGCAGTCATGAAAGCAAAGAAGAAAACCCCCACATCTGGTGCCAAACGTGATTGGCTTAGTTGGAACCTATGAGCTAGGTTGTACAGTAAAATTTCGCACTTAAATTTTCCCTGAAAATTCAAAAGTGACAAGCAGTATTCAAGATGTGGGGGTTTTCTTTTTTGCTTTCACGACTGCAATGCGTATGTCACCAATGTACATCTGGCAGACGCTTCACAAAGCTGTCGAAATTTGCAGAATAGAAAATACAAGAGCAACCGTACAGGGCCTGGGAGCAAGGTTGAGTTAGAGTCCTTGAGGGTCTCTTCTCAGACTAGCTTCACCTGGTCCTGCTCCACGTTGATCATTGGAATCTCCTCAATGATTTAACACTTTAAGGGTCTCCCAGGGTCCTCATCACATTTATAGTTTAGTGAATATAGGCAACTCGGTGTTGAAGACACCTAAAGCTGAAGGTTTGAATAATGTTGGCAGTATTCAGAAGTGGTTCAATGGAAACACCGCATAAAGCTTAACAGTAGTTTATTTACTAACTTAACCACTAATACAAAGGGTGCTTGATTTACTTTAGATTGGTGTCAGAAAGGCTATGGTTGCATTAGCGAGACTCTTGACGTCTGGCTAATCGACTCGTATCCACTCGTGGAGTAACACCTAACTTAACACAGTTGACAGACAATCATTAACACGGCAACCTAACTGTTGGTATGCAAAGGGATCACAAGAGTTCCAACCGGATACTCGGGTAATGATGATATGCAATAAATCACAAATACACTGTCAATGGACAGGCAATAACATGCACAATAATAATGTCACACAATAATTAAATGTGTGGTGTATGTGAAGCTCACATTCACAGATGAGTGAAATGCCGTGATACCACACAGATAAACACGCATTCACCGTCGATTCACCTATAACCTGTGACAGGTATAAGGTGAGAACTGTGGTTGATACCTCAGATCAACACAGACACAATAAAACAATGACAAGATCTTGTACTTACAGATGGGGGTACCTCTCTTATTTACTCACTCACTCAGGCACATTTATACAAGCACTCGTAGGTGGCCTGATAGCTGGTTTCGCTCGTAGATACGGAGGGTACTCGCAGTAGGGCGTGCTGTATGTATAACCGACACACGCACGCACTCTGTCACTAGCGGTGAGTAAGGTGGTGATGTCATGTAGTACAGTGAGGGCGGCGGCGGGTGGCTCAAGGCTACACGAGGTACAGAGGTACTAGCTACACGCTCTGCACAGAGTGGCAGCTGGCGGTGGCTGTGGTACCATGCAGGTACACTTGTGGTAAAGTCACACACAGGTTACTTAGGTGGCAGTACTGCCTTAGTTCACTCTAGGTCACTCACAACAATCTTTGTCACTAGGGGTTACCTGATACCAGTCTGTTTCGCTCTGGTGATTTTGTCACTATAGGGTTCTGAACAATATATTCACAATCGTGATTCTGAGCGAGTGTGGGTATATCGAAAAGATGCTGAGTTAACTTGACGGTGAGGAATGGATGGTGTTCAGTCTATTGGCCGTTAGACAGAACAGGACATGTTCTCTGGGAAAGGGCTCCCTCACGTGAATACTTTTGCCTGAAGCTCAGGGTGTCTTGTGGACACAACACAGAGCATTACGATTTGACCAACAGCATTGCAGCAAATGAGCAGGAACCAATCATATTGAACGTTCGATGATCAGTAGGAGAGGTGACATAATGAACACATCACGACCACGTCATAGCTGTTATTCTCCATCGCGCCGGTTGAGGTTGACCTCAGGGTCACACTGTCGCCTCGCAGGCGTCTCTCATGCTGGCACCAGCCAATGTACTCACTGACCCTTGGTGGCAAGTATGCTTAACTTCCCTGTATCTACTTCCTGCCTGGACATACAGCAGCCTCCGTATTATGAAAGTGTTGCTGGTTAAGTGGGCCTTCTTGAGTTACCCAACATGTCAGGTCACTATCCAGGGTTAAGAGAGATAGGCTTGTGCACAAGATCAGTGCACTGAGCACTGCAATGCCATTCAAGTCAGCTGTGGAAGAATCTTGAGAGACCATTCTCTGACAACCACTAACATGTACAGTGTTTCGGGCAGGTCCTTAAACTAACAGATAATTTTAAGTAGGTTTTTTGTAATGCTTCTTTCTGAATAAACCCTGGTCGCCCTTTCCCTGAAAGGGCGACCATATATATATATATATATATATATATATATATATATATATATATATATATATATATATATATATATATATATATATATATATATATTATATATATATTATATATATATATATTATATATATATATATATATATTTATATATATATATATATATATATATATATATATATATATATATATATATATATATATATATATATATATATATATATATATATATATATATATATATATATATATATATATATATATATATATATATATATATATATATATATATATATATATATATATATATATATATATATATATATATATATATATATATATATATATATATATATATATATATATATATATATATATATATATATATATATATATATATATATATATATATATATATATATATATATATATATATATATATATATATATATATATATATATATATATATATATATATATATATATATATATATATATATATATATATATATATATATATAGGCATGCTGTCATGTGGAATGGCACAAAGGCTGGAAGGCAGGATGACAGGCTGGCAGGCAAGCTCACAGCATGGCAAGGAGGATGACAGGTAGGCTGGCAAGCAGGCCAGCAGGATGGCAGGCAAGTTAGCAGAATGGCAGGCAGGTCAGCAGGATGGCAGGCAGGCCAGCAGAATGGTAGGCAGGATGGCAGGCATGTTTCAGGATGGCAAGCATGTTTCAGGATGGCAAGCATGTTTCAGGATGGCAGGCAGGATGGCAGGCATACAGGCAGGCAGGATGGCAGGCATACAGGCAGGCAGGCAGGCAAGCAGGCCAGCATGCTGACTGGCTGGCAGGCAGGCTGGCAGGCAGGATGGCCGGCAGGATGGTAGGCAGGATGGCCACCAGGCTGCCAGACAGGATGGCCACCAGGCTGCCAGACAGGATGGCTGGTAGGCTGGCAGGGAGGATGGCCAGCAGGATGACAGGATGGCAGGCAGGCTGGAAGGATAGAAAGCTGGCAGGCAGGATGGAAGGCAGACTGGCAGGCAGGCAGGCAGGCAGGCAGGCAGGCAGGCAGGCAGGCTGGCAGGTAGGCAGGTAGGCAGGCAGGCAGGCAGGCAGGCAGGCAGGCAGGCAGGCAGGCAGGCAGGCTGGCAGGCAGGCAGGCAGACAGGCAGGCAGGCAGGCAGGCAGGCAGGCAGGCAGGCAGGTAGGCAGGCAGGCAGGTAGGCAGGCAGGCAGGCAAGAAGGCAAGCAGGCAGGCAAGAAGGCAGGCAGGCAGGCAGGCAGGCAGGCAGGCAGGCAGGCAGGCAGGCAGGCAGGCAGGCAGGCAGGCAGGCAAACAGGCAGGCAGGCAGGCAAGCAGGCAGGCAAACAGGCAGGCAGGCAGACAGGCAGGCAGGCAGGCAGGCAGGCAGGCAGGCAGGCAGGCAGGCAGGCAGGCAAACAGGCAGGCAGGCAGGCAAGCAGGCAGGCAAACAGGCAGGCAGGCAGACAGGCAGGCAGACAGGCAGATAGGCAGACAGGTAGACAGGATGGCAGGCTGACAGGATGGCAGGCTGACAGAATTTCAAGCTGTCAGGCTAGCTGGCAGGTTAGTTGGTTGGCAAGCAGACTGGCAGGTTACTGATTTAAAGTAACTATTTGGTGTATAATTTAGTCCTATATCAGATTGGAAATACAGACATCTTGCATATGTAAATAACATAACATGCAGTCCTCTTCTAATATTTAAAAAAAAAGACAAAGGAACATCAGACCATCCAGAATTACTTTAAAATGGATCAATAGTTTCTATTTTGGTTAAACCTGGAAAATGGACTGGCTTTCCTGGTCCTGGTCCTCATATTGAACCAAGTTCCAAGACTTCAATCGTTTTGGAACATGGGTCCAATCCAACTTTGTGTATTACTGCATAATACTTTTCCAACTCCACATATCCTACCAATATTTTTATCTGCATCCTATAATCTATTCTGCTCAAAATTTCTTTATGAAATCTGTTGGCGGATTTAATTTTTGTTAATAATAATAATTATAATAATTACTTGTGTTGGGGAACAGTAAGCCAGAGTGTATTCATACACGTTAGGCCTATACCGAGGCCCTACCCTCTTCCCAAGATCGAATTACAGACCCCACCCATGATGCAGCCCCACAAGCTGACTAACTACCAAGTACTTACTTACTGCTATGTGAACAGACACATTAGATGAAAGGCAATGTACCCAACCATTTCTGTTCTGCCCAGGATTCGAACCCGGAATTCTCGGTTGTGCGTCGAGAACGAACCAGACTGTACTACCTGGACTCTTCTGAATGCTCATCTGTTATCTAGCTTTTCGCTTATGGATTTGTTTTGTACTCATATTTACTCTATGCCTTATCACTTACCTGATTTGACTCTGGTGTATTCCTCACTAAAGGCATCCATCTCAATCTTGGAGCCAAGAGGAACTGTTGGGACAGATCCTGTGATATGAGTTTTGACTTGGATGTTGTTGAAAACATCAAGTCCCTGTAAACAAAAACAAATTTTCTTGAAGACTAAATGGGGCAGTTACAGTGATAGCTATATTCAGATGATTTATAATGTAGACCACAAGAAATGTTTGCAACGATTTGTAATGAAAGTGCTATGGACCGATGGTGAAAAGCAGCATACAAGAAGCGTCTAGGACTGCAACTTTTGATAAGCCACTGGCATTCTGTCCCCATTGAGGCCACTAGAGGTGGTGGCCTTCAGATAATTTCATATATATCATTACCCTATTTCCCAATTTCATAGTGTAAGGCGGCATTTTCCATATGAAGATGGATGAGTAACACAGGAAACAAGGGCTAAAGACATTAAAGATTTTTCAGAACACACATCCCTTCATGCTACTTTCCAAACTCGGCAGACTCATGAAAAACAAGCACCACCACACTCCTGTACATCTCCAGAAATATCACTCACTTCAAAATGCTGTTGGATAACCACATGGTGACCTGTTTGGGGGAAGTCCACCTCCACTGTACGATTCAGTACACCACCTGTGGGGGAAGGGAGGAAGAAGAAATATCATATGACACTTTCAAGTTCACACATAGCTCTCATCCTGTAACTACACTTAGGTAATTACCACTTATGGAGGAAATCATTCTTGTACCCACATAGAAAATAAGTCTTGCATATTATGACAAATACTGTATGGAAATATACAAAATTATATACTGTATAGTGTAAAAAGATAATACATTAATGAGCATGTAAAAGTAACCCAATCTACAGCATTAAAGTAAACCTGCAATAGCTTAAACTATGTCTCAGTTTTCTAGAATTAAGGAAACTGTAGAATGCCTAATGTTCCATATGATAAGAATAAAAGATATTGTACAAAATAAAGATATTGTACTGTACATGTATTGTTTATGCTCACTAGATTAAATTATACATGGAAAACCCTATTTGAATCACCCAGACATTGGAATTACTCAAATGTCTTATGAAGATTAACCCTTTAACTGCGCAACGCGCCTGCAGGCCCAGGCTTAGGGTGCGCAACGCGCCCCGGGTGTTTTTATTTTTCACGTTCCATTCAAAACTCCTGCGGCTACACGGGGTTCACATCAGCTTCCTCAGGGGTCTTGTAAACAGACGCCATCTTAAAAAAAAATCATGGTCCACATTGCCGGGTGTCAGAGCCTCAGTAGTGAGTGAGCAACCAAGGCTGGCACTCGCAGCATGAGCGCACAGCACTGCTGTTCAGCGTGTGACCACAGCATTGCCTAATATTGTCAAAATATATATATAATCTGTTTTATTTAGCCATGATAGTATTATAGAAGAGCCCGAGTGTGATAATGACTTGGTACAATGTTCAAATATCAGTGATTCAATGCTGTTCACGATGTTCACAGCGCTAGCCACAGCACCACAACATTATTTCGTCCATCTAGGAATCTTCAAACGACTTTTTAGGTTCCTTTTCAAAATAAACTTGTGGTCAATTATTCATTTACAGGTATTAGTGACCAGGATTGTGGTTATAATGAGCGTTGTGCGTAGGAAGGAGGAAGGGAGAGAATTGAGGTAGCCTCACTGTGTGGCAGTAACTCTTGTTTTGCTCACCATACTAGCTTCGTGGTTTGCTATGGGGAACACACATGTACATGGGTATATACAGTGTGTGTGGAATAGTGTAATAACAGCACCAGGAATATGTTGTGAGGAGCTATTTTGGTGAGGGAGGTGACGTCGTAAACGTGGCGTCGTCTGCAGTCTGCTGTGTGATTTGTCATGCAGTGTATGGTGGCCACTGTACTGTTTGGACACATGACCGGCTTACTTGCATAGTTCTGGTAAATAAAACATGTTGATAGGTATATATAACATGTGTAAATTGTGTAATAAATACAATAACAGTATGGTGGGAGGAGCAATGTTGGCGAGTAAGATGTTGGAGTGAGGGAGGGCTGGCTGAGTGTGACTGCTCACACTTGCGGTGTTCTGAGTGTGTTGATGGTGAATGTATATAGTGTGTGACAGTGTAGAGTGTGTACATGTGTTGCAAATACAGTATACATAAATGAACAAATGAACATGAAACATTGGTGTGAATAACTGTATGATTTGGAGGAGTAATGTTGGTGAATACAATGTTGGAGGAGTGAGGGAGGGCTGGCTGGGGTGTGGCTGCTCACACTCGCGGTGTTCTGAATGTGTTGATGGTGAATGTATATAGTGTGTGACAGTGTATAGTCTGTAAATAGATTGTATATATACATAAATTAGCATGATACATGGTAAATATGTGCAACATATGTGTACACAAGTGTCATGCATGTAACACAGTGTCTTCGGACAGTACGGATGTTTTACTGCCATAATATAGTGTACATGTTCATTATACATAGGATTAGCATGTAAAAACAAATAAAATGTATTTGGAACTGTGCGCAAAAAATGTGCAAAAATATATTCACGGCAATTCACGCGCCCCGCCCTGGGCACCCCACCGCCCCCGGGTGCATACTGCTCTGGCGCACGGGGAATTATGACGTCACGGCCCACCTTTTGGACCCCATAGCAGCCAAAGTAAGTACAATTTCGAACTTGCATTGCTATACCCATATACAGGGAGGGGTTTTTGACACTTTCCGAAGAAAAAATAATTTTTTCCCAAGGTTTCATTTCCTGCACACTGGGGGGATGTCATATTTATAGGCCGTGCAGTTAAAGGGTTAAAAAAATATAAACAATTCACTATCTCTGGGGAGAGCCCCTTGTGGTTTCCTGAAGCTACTATGCTGATATTGTGCCAAGCTATTAGGTGCCATCAGGCCCACAGTTCTTTTTGGCTTACCGGAAACCATTGGCCAGAACCTTGCCATTAAGAGAGATGCAGGGGAGCAGTGGCACTATAATAAAATTGTTTATGAATTTTAATCATGTTCACCACCACCAGGGAAACACCAGAAAGTCAGCAAAACAAAACAAACCACTGCTGTGAGAAATGAGACTGCAGCCTCAAAGCCACAAAAAAAGAACTCTACCAACAATGTGAACAAACAATTGAAAATTCATGAAACTAATGCTAGCTTGTTTGCCCTGCCACCCCTCCTTGTTTGGGAGAAAGAGGGAGGCAGCCAGGGGACAACCAGCTGTTCCACCCTCGATTCTTTGCTGATGGTAGAAGTGCAAGGTGCCCTTTTACTCTGGCTCCTGTGTCCTGGTTTTCAGCTAAGTGGGGTTTACCTGTTTGTTATTTTCATCAGTATATAAACTCTGCTTTAAAGTATCATTTAAGTAAATACTGTATTTGTGGAAAATGTTGATCTTCTATGGCCTCTAAACACTATTTCTCTATAATGAAGGCCTGAGTTGTAAAATTAATATGATGTCAGGGAATATTTAACAAAGGTCCATTTATCCAAAGTTCTATTACAATTAACTCTAATATAAAGGGATGGAGTTCAACTCTTTACTGTGGAAAATAAAGGGACAGGAAATGCTGTACAAAGAAACAATAAAATGATTTAGCCCCTCCAGGGAAGACAAAATTAATCATGTTAATAGAGAAACAAACTAAATTTTTTTACAAATCTCTCAAAAACACACTATATCCACTATGATTTCTACAGTAAATGCAAAAATAAAAAAAATAGTGACCCAAATACATACCTGTACTGGAAAATCCATTGGCAGTATCATCGATGGATTTTGCAAATAGCCACGCAATGCCAGATCCAAGAGATATAATACTCTGCAAATCATAGCCAATCTGTGATGGTATTCTTGAAATGGCAGTATAGCTCCGGCCCTCTGCTGTCAGTACATAGGCATGGAGATCAGAGTCTTCTAATTCCATGCCATTGATATTACCAACAACCTTTCCAACAACACGCAGGGGTGCCTCTGGGTATAAATAACATTTATTATATTGCTGGTTAATATACAGTATAACTAATACAAAACACTGCAGATAGAAGTAAGTCCACAGTAATTTTTGGGTGTTTAGAAAAGGAAATATTATCTCGGGTGGACAGAGCAGCAGAAAAGATGAAAACCATAGAGAAAATAGCAGGATTAGGAGAAGGCCTAAATTCAAAGGAAAATGTCAGTGATTTTAGGAGGATAGGAAAATATGAGAAAGACAAGAACCGTCTCTTAAGGGTGACATTTACTGGAGTGAAACACATGATGTAAGTGCTTAGAAATGCCAGGAAATTGCAGTGTGATGAAGCGAGGTGTTAGGTAAGAGGCATATGTCAATAACCTATACAACTAGATAAGGAGTAAGGAGTAAAGGCAACCCATCCTCCTGTTTAGATACAGTAGTACTTTTTGTAACCATGTGCACCATAGTACAAACATGGGCAGGTGGCAGATTGGATGGGCAGGTGGTAGATTGGGTAGGCAGGTGGCAGATTGGGTGGACAGGTGGCAGATTGGGTGGGCAGGCAGCAGAGTGGGTGCCCCTCCTCACTACATCCTTCCACCACCCATCCCCTATACCATCCCTCCCCACTACCTCCTTCCCAACACCATCTTTCCCTGCTACCTTCTTCCCTAAATCCCAACACCATCCCTCCCCACTACCCGCTTCCATACATCTCCACACAGTCCCTCCTTTTTTTTTTATTTATATATACAAGAGTTCTTACATTTTTGTACAGCCACTAGTACAAGTAGCGTTTTGGCAATCCCTTAATCCTATGTTCCCCGGAATACGACCCCCGCGAAGAATCGTTTTTACAACCAAGTACTCATTTTACTGTTGAATTAAACAGACGCTACAGTTAAGGATTTGCGCCCAGTAAATCCTCCCTGGCCAGGATACAAACCCAGGACAAAGCACTCGCATAATGCCAGGCGAGTATCTTACCACTATGCCACGGAGACTACGCCTTGCTTTTTCGCTATACGCCTTGCTGTTTCGCTATCCCCGTTTCCACACCAGTCCCTCCCATCTGCCTATCCCCCACCCCTCAAGCTGCATCTAGAAGTAATTAACATCATATGGGCTCTTCCTGCCAGCTAGTGGCCTGGGGGTCTTGAGAAGGCAGAGACTTGGCTGAGTGATATCACACTCATACTGTTTACTAGCTGTGACTGGCTTTGACTGGTTGTGACTAAGTACTTATGACGGTTGTGACTGTGAATACCTGACTGATTGTGATTGACTGTGTCTCTGACTGACTGTAAATACCTGAACTTGTGATGGTTGTGACTGACTGCCTGACTGGTTCTGACTGAATATGGCTGTCTGTGATTGGTTGCAACTGTGAATGATTGCTGGTCCTGACTAGGTGCCTGCAACTGGTTGTGACTGTCTCTGACTACCTGTGACTGCCTGCTACATAAGAGGCAGTAAAATCCGTGAAGGGAAAAATCTCTTGTTAAGCAAATTGCTATTCAGATATGGCGAAGTTTAGTTGGAAAATTATTTGACCTCGAAAATCACCTGATAGCTCAAATATTCAAATCAGCAAGCTTTGGATTAGCGAGCTCATACAGTATATTGTTCATCGCTATTGTGTGTTTTAATATCCATCTGTTAGGGTATACTAGCACCACTTAACGAGCTAAGACCACTTGGGTTTGTAGTTGAATAGTATACATTACAGAATCATTATTAGGTAGGTAATTAGACTGTCTCCTGATTAATTAATTAGCATTTAATAACTGCTTCAATATAACAACAGAAACTAGCACTCATGAAATCTTACCCTTAGCTACACAGTTAATGCCATTCCCAAAATATTCCTCTTTACAACTGCAACAGAAGCCAGATGCATAATCAGTGCAAATAGAGTTGGAATGGCACATGGATCCTCCCACAGCACATGATTGGGTCTCACTTTTGTGGCCTTTGCTTTCACTGGTGCCAGTATCTGGGGACTGAACATTCTGCTCCAAACTTAACTGTCCAACACGATACATCCACACTCCTGGATTATCACAGTTGCTCCATCTGGAACAATAATACTATTAGTTAAAAACAAATCTGCCCCTGAGAGATACCTTGGCAAAAAGAAATATGTAGTATTGTACTGTATAATAAAGATTATGATTTTATAATAATCAGTCCAAATCCAGTTTTTTATATTACAATAATACTAATAAAATTAAAATTTACATAACATAATGATAAACATAAATAATGATAACATAAAATTTATGTTATCAACCGGAAAAATTATTAGACATTTGTGAGCGAAATATGGTGTAGTGGGTGGGCCAATGGGTGTTCACTCAAGGGGTAACGCATGGCCTGCTTTCAGCTTGGCTGCAGCTAGGTGGTGGTGGTGCGCCACAGTTTTGGACATTATATGCATATATTCCTGTAGGGAATTCTATTGCAAACACATTGATACCAAAATGAAAGACCTAGGACGAGAATTGAGGTGACCAAAGTGAAAAGAGTATACACATTTTATTGCTCTTGCGTGCTCACAAGTAACGCGTTGCCAATTTCTAGTTTTGGTGCAGGTGGTATGCCAGGCTTTTGGACTTTATATAAGTATATACTCCTGTAGGGAATTCTATTGTGAACTCATTAATACCAAAATTAAAAACCTAGGATGAAAAAGGAGGTGACATAATTGAAAAAAAAGAGTATACACTTTTCAGTATTACCGTGTGCTCACTTGAAATGCCCGGCCCACCTTGGGGTGGTCTGGTGCTTGCTCGCCCAAAGCACGAAAGTGTTAAGATATGGGCACCATACAACTGCTACATATTCCAGCGTTGGTCTAACAAAAGTCGTGAACACTTTCTTTAGTTTTTTGCCATCCATGTATTTAAAAGCAATTCTGAAGTTAGAAAGCATGGCATAGGTTCCTCGCTCAATGTTCTTTATGTGGTCTTCAAGTGATAGTTTTTATCTAGAACTACCCCTAGATCTCTTTCTTTATCTGAATTCCTTAAAGATTTCTCACATAATTTGTAGGTTGTGTGGGGTTTATTTCTTTCTGCCTCTCTCCTCACTGCCGTGTAGTTGTTTCTCACATCTTTGTATTGCTGGTATGTTTGGGGGGTTTGCCCTCTTCCTATATTGATTCCATTTTTGTTTTTTTTGGTCTCTGGCCTTCTCGCAATTCAAGTTAAACTAATCCTGTTCCTTAGTTCTGCATCTCTGCTTTGGTATATTTTTTTTTGTTCCTTTATCATATATTTCACAAAACTTGACATACATCTCATTTCCTAATAGCAAGTCTTGCCAGTCAAATTCCTTAAAGAAATTTCTAAGTTCTATATTGTCCTCTTCTGAAAACAGATTTTTCTGCTGCTTCAACCTCCTTATTTTCTTTCAGATTATAACACAGTGAATACTTTATTCCCAAAAAGACATGGTCACTTTTACCCAAGGAAGGAAGGTACTGAATGTCAAATATCACTTCCTCTTTCCTTGTAAATATCAAATTTAGCATAAAGGGAACATCCCCATTCCCTCATCCTCATAGATATTTAACATGTTAATACATGAATGTTTCCAGGATGAGGTTCACAAATCTACAAGTCCAAAAGTCCTCTGTTCTATCTTCATATGCCTCCTAGTCTATGGATTTCAAGTTGAAGTCTCCGACTACCAACAGTTGTGATCTATCTTCATCCGCTCTTGCTCTAATCTCTCTCATTATTATTATAAGACCCTCTCATTTACTATCCAGCTCCTCCTTGGTCTATGTGTTGTATGGTGGTGAACTATATACATTTATGATCATTAGTTTATCATTCAAATTGCAGATCTCGAGTGCTATTATATCAACTTCTCGTGGATTGGCAATCATTATTTTGTTTACCTTTAGATGTTCTTTCACCACCACAGCAATGCCACTGCCTTTCCTAATTTTTCTGTCCTGTCTCCAAACTGAGTAGCCCTTGGGAATATGACCTCATTTGAAATATTACCTTCAAGTTTCATCTCTGTGAATGCAACAATGTCTGGTGTCTGCAGTTGTATTACATCACTTCACTCCAATATCTTTGATCTCACTCCATCTATGTTGGTGTATACAATTTTCAGGAACATGTTCCCTCTCTCCTTATTCTTCATTACCACTTTCTCTAGTGATTTTGTTGGCTTGCCTTTTTGTATCATTTTACTGGCCTGCCTACCTCTATCACTTTGTAGAAAAAAAATTATATCTTCTTCATTACTGGTTTTATTTAGACGTTTTGCTTCTACAAGGTTCCATTTCAGCTTCTTTCTGTCTTCTCTTGAAAGATCTCATCTTAATGACAATAATTTTCCTTCCTTATCACTTTGTAATTTCTGAACAATCGTTTAGGGTGATCATTTAGGGTGATCCTCATAGGGCGATCTTTTCCATTTACGTACCTGCCAATTCTCTGTAGTCGCGGATATTCTCTATGGTTGTAAGACCTTCCACTAGTCCAACAATTTTATCTACTACTTTAGTTTCTTCTATAGCTCTTTCTGACCTAGATGTAATTTCCTTTTATTTGCAATCAAAAATTATTAGGGAACTTACTTTGATCAACTGTATTTTGCACCAATTTCGAGTTTGATGCCAATTCCTTTCTGACTTCCAGCCTAATGTTTGTTTTTTCCTGGTTACTGCAGTGCTACTTCTATTTTTCCCTTCTTCTTGGCCACTTGTGCATAGATGAGTTGCATATCCCTCTTGCATTGTTCTATTTCCTGTGTAACTTTTTCCATCTGTACTGACAAAAGATGTTTTTCCTGTTGGATTTCCTTACCTAACCTATTGTAGTCATTTATGTTTAAATTTGCTTTAAAACTCCAAAGCTATTTTCAAGAGTTTATTTTCCTCTTCCATGGCTTTGCAATTTGTTTCCAACTGATTCTTTTCCTTGCATAAGTCTTTCACTAACACCTCAAGACTTAATACTTTGCTACTCAAGTGGTCATTATTTTCCCTTAATTTGTTGATTAATTCTACATGACAGTTCACTATAATATCTAATTTTGTCAACTTATTGTGTAGACTGCTTATATCAATGCTTTCTTCATTGAAACCACCAAAATCTAGCTTTGTTTTGTTTTTTCTCTTGCCGGCAGCCTTCTTGAATTTTGTCATATGCCCTGTTAACACTAGGGGTAACTTTTTCTCATCCAATTTTTTTTCACTTCCCTTGGCACATTTGTGTTATCTCACCTATTTTTCCAAAGCACTACACCTTTGTGTTCATTGGGATACCACTCACTGTCATCAACCTGTTCTACAATACTTAGGAATTTTGAAATATCCTGGAGCTCCCCTGATGCAGGTGTTGACACAAGGGGTGTCACCTTCTCCCCTGTACAGTTGTATTAATGCTATTGAGAATAAGGAAGATATAATTTAAACTTAAGTAGTATTCACACACCCCGTACGACATACTTGTCAAGGCTCCTAACTTGGTCTGTTCCAGAACCTCTTAATATGTGGAACCTTCCATCACCAGAAATGAGGCCTGCCTGGCCCCTGGCATCAGGTATGCTGGGATTTTTGCCATCACCCTGAAGCCATTGAATTCCACCATCAGCATAGTGGAACATTACATATGTATCCAGCATATCAGTGACGATGACCAGTTGGTAGGTGTTTATCTGAAAGAAAAAATATCAACCTTCAAGACAGCATAATTAAATTTTTAAGGGGAACTGATTTACAATTAGGTAATGTGGCAGTAAGAAAACATGTTGGCAGACAACATAAAATAAAATTATTCATAGATCATTAATATCTTCAATTTCTAAGGGGGCCTCTTATTGACATAGCTTCTCTGTGCTTAGCCACACCATTCATATGAGCCTTATTAGCCTACCAGAGACCAGGAGCCAGAACCTGGCCTCCTTGAAGAGGTACAGGGAGCAAGGGTTTGTTATGATCATCCTCACAAAGAAAGCAGTCAAAAATCAGATAAAACAATACAAAACAACTGCTTGGTTCATGAAAATGAAGTACAAAAACAGCCAGCAGACAATGCAAAAGAATCATATAAAATTAAATGATTCATTCAAAACTGGGTATAAGAAAACTGCCCCAGCATGCATGTACCAAGCATGCATTCCATATGTCACATTCAGTCCTGATGCTAATGTAATGACTTAAGTGTAGTTACAGAATAAGAGCTACACTTGTGGTGTCCCATCTTACCTGCACTCTTTATCATATAACGCTTTGAAACTACTGATGGTTTTGGCCTTCCCCCCTTCTCACCTAACTTGTTCCATCTATCTACCACTGTTTGCAAAAGTGAATTTTCTTGTATTTCTTTGGCAGCTTTGTTTAACTCCTGGGCAGTGCTTGTGATTATAGCCTGCAACGCTGCCAGACGCAAGAAAAAAAAATTCAAATTCTTAGTGGATAATAGCAGGATTGTGGTGATAATTAGCGCTGTGTGAAGTATGGTGGGAGGAGTAATGTAGGTGAAGGAGAGAGGTAGTGTCGTCTGTTGACTCTGTGTGGCAACCTGTTATTGTCTGGACTCACCATACCAGCTCAGTGGTTTGCTATGGTGAACACAAATGTAGATACTTATATATAATGTGTGTATATAGTGTAATAACAGAACAAACAATATGCTGGGAGGAGTCATTTTGGTGAGGGAGGTAGACTGATTAAAAAGATAGAGGCTCACGGTATTGGGGGTACTATATTAAGTTGGATTCGGGCATGGCTATACCAAAGGAAACAAAGTTAGTATAAATGGGGTTAAGTCAGAGTAGGAAAATGTTGTAAGTGGAGTCCCTCAAGGCTCTGTCCTGGGATCTCTGTTATTCATAATACAGTGATACCTCCACTTACGAATTTAATTTGTTCCCAGAAACGGGTCATAACTCAGAACAAATTTTCCATAAGAAATAATGTAAATTGAACTAATTTGTTCCACATCCCCAAAAATATTAACTTATAAATACATTTTATACTGAATACCACTCTTTTTGTACCACTTTTTATGCTAGCTATAATACAGTACTGTATGTACATCTTACCTTTATTAAGGATTCTTAATTGTTGGCGTATGGAAGACAGTGAGGAGGTGGGGGGAGAGGAGGAGGAGTGGGTGATAGGCATTTTGGTGGGTTCATGGGGTTAGGCGAGCTTGGGTGGGTTCGGGCGGGTGGGAGGTCTTGGGTGGGTTCAGGTGGGTGGGCGGTCTTGAGTGGGTTCAGGCAGGTGGGCATTCTTGAGTGTTTTCTGGGTGGGTTTGGGCAGGTGGGCAGTCTTGGGTGGGCTCGAATGGGTATGTGGGCTTGGGTGGGTTTAGGTGGGTGGGCGTTGAACAAATCCACTAGGACAGTGACGAGGGTTCAAACCTACGTCCGAGAGGATCCCAGACACTGCCTAAATCAACTAAGCTATGCCATGGTAAAAGAATTTCAACCGGGAAATTATCCTGACCTACCACAGATCCTGCAGTCTCTCTGAGACACAAACCAGGGTTTTACACAATTTCCCCCATGCATCCGAGCTCTGCCAATAGGCTGTTCTACCTCTTTGCCCTTACTTCATTGTTCACAAAAATTACAATCGCGTGATGCATCAAATGAATAAATTCATTTGTTCATTTGATGCATCACGCTATTGTGATTTCTGTGGGTATGGGTGGGCGTTCTTGGGTAGGTTAGAACGTGTGGGTGGGCTTGGGTGGTTTTGGGCAGGCTTTGGGGGGCTTGGGTGGGTAATTACCTAAGTGTAGTTACAGGATGAGAGCTACGCTCATGGCATTCTGTCTTCCCAGTACTCTTAATCATATAACACATTGAAATTACTGACGGTTTTGGCCTCCACCACCTTCTCACCTAAATTGTTCCAACCGTCTACGACTCTGTTTACAAAAGTGAATTTTCTTATATTTCTCCGGCAGCTTTGTTTCGTTAGTTTAAATCCATGACCTCTTGTTCTTGAAGTTCCGGGTCTCAGAAATTCTTCCCTATCAATTTTATCGATTTTCACACCAGATATTTATTTCTGGCGTGGTGATAATGGGTCCTATTACATCTGTCCAGAGAGAGTTTCAGAGCAGGGTTTGCATTTAAGAACAGAGTTTTGTAAATGTAATTGACACAAGAGAATGTGTGGAGTGAGTTTATTTTTAGCATGTTTAGGGATTTAAACAAGGGTGGCTGAGTCTTGTCTGAAAGCAGAATTTGTTATTATTCTGATAGCAGATTTTTGCTGGGTGATGACAGACGTGAGATGGTTTGCAGTGGTTGAACCCCCCATGCACAGATACCATAATTAAGATAGGGATAGATTAGTGCATAATATAGTGAGATGAGAGCAGAGTTAGGTACATAATATCTAGAACCATTCCTAGATCCCTTTCTTTATCAAAATTCTTTAAAGATTTCTCACATAATTTATAGATTGTGTGGGATCTATGTTCTCCAATTCCACATTCCATAACATGGCATTTATTCACATTAAATTCCATTTGCCAAGTGGTGCTCCATATACTTATTTTGTCCAGGTCTTCTTGAAGGGCATGACAATCATCTAGGTTTCTTATCTTCCCTATTATCTTAGCATCATCAGCAAACATGTTCATATAATTCTGTATTCTATCTGGTAGATCGTTTATGTAGACAATGAACATTACCAGTGTAAGAACTGAACCCTGTGGTACTCCACTTGTGACATTCCTCCGTGGGCAGGCTAGGGTGAGTTTTTGGGCTCGGGCGGGTGGACAATATTTTCGGGCAGGCTATAGGGGGCTTAGGTGGCAGGCTGACTATCACATACTGGCTATGGTCACGACACATCCTCTCAGCTTCCCCAAACCAGCTACATCCTAGCCCCCCTCCCCCAAACCGGCTAGATCCTAGCCCCCTCCCCCTCCCAATGCCATACCCTCTCAGATATATCCCCCACCCCTCCCAGCATGTGTAGACGATTCATACGGTACTGTATTAATACGGTTCAGATTCTCGGCTACCTTCCTATCGGATGGTGATCTTGGAGGTAGACTGCCCTGACTGACTGATTGCACTGACTGCCCTGACTGCTCTGACTGATTGACTGACTGACTGCCCCGACTGACTGACTAATTGTCCTGACTGCCCCTATTGACTCTTTGACTACACTGACTAACTGACTGCCCTGACATACTTATATACGAGATGGTACATTGGGTTTGTATGAGAGTACATAACATTGATGTTCTGTAAACAACATCAGGATCATGTTGTTTACAAACTGATTGGTTGCTACCACAACTGTGAATGCCTGACTGACTTGTGACTGAAGTCAAGTCTGACTGACTTGACTATGGCTGCCGCTGACTGATTGCGACTGTGACTAGCTCTGACTGCATGCTGTATAACAGAAGTAGTCAAATCTGAGAAGGGAAAATATAACCACTGGCCTAGCGAGGGCAAGGTTGTTACAACAAACACAATACTGGCCTGCAGTTTAACACATATTGGACTCTGGAAACTCAATACCGTATTCCAGATTTAATGGCCAATGACTATGTAAATAAGGTGCCAGTTAACGATCTAAAAATTGGTCGTTAGAACCAGCAGAACAGTAAATAAGAGTTCCTTAACCCTTAAATTGTGCATCACATCATATGATGTTTTGCCCGACTTGCAGTAAATTGCGCATTGCATCATATGATGCTTTGGAGTACCGCGCATGATTTGAAAGGCCCGCGGGGTATAGGGGGTCCCCATATGCTACCCAGGGGTTATAGTAAACAGCCGCCATTTTGAAAAATATCGAGCTCACGCTACTATCGTGTGGGAGGCCTCAGTTACCCAGCAGCCACCATGTCGAGCACATGGCCGAACGCTTCCTGGGCACGCCCCACGCAATCACTCACCCAAGAGCAAATAACCAGTGAATTATTTTCCGATGGTGAGGAAAGTGACTTTGATGACTGATATTGATAAAGACTACACACAATTGACTGATGATGATAGCATGGACAGTGAAAATGAGATACAGCCGCCTCCCATGGCGAGGCCTATACGCTCACCCATGACACCTCGCCCAGTGTCTACCCCAATACACCATCGACCACACAGTTCCTGTGCTTATTTAGAGTCTGAGGATATTTTTGGTGATGAGTCAGAGGAAGCTGACTCTTCTTCTGGTTTTAGTGAAGTGGAATCAGAACATAGTGAAACCGAGCCTGGTGCCAGTACCAGTGGTGTTACTGGCGAGATTTTTTCGCATCAGCAGTGTCTCGCCCAACCAAGCGCCACCGCATGGAACAACATGAAGCACCAAGAGCCTCATGTTCACGTGCTTCTACCTCAAATGCACGTAGCGGCCGTACTGTGCGTAGACGGGCTTCAGCTCCTGGTCCATGGGGTGCATCGCTTCCTCGCCGTAGTGCCCCTGTTGCGTCCCCTGCATCTCGCAGGACACCAGGTGTACTAGTGTGGAGAGATGGTGCTGGTTTTATTCCCCGAATTCCTGCCTTTCACAATAAAGACATTGGGATTACAGAGCTTTTCCCTGATAATGGAGAGGATATGAGTGAATGTGTATATTTTATAGCATTCTATGGTGAGCCGCTCATGGAATATATTGTACACCAAACAAACCTTCATGCGGCTCATCTCATTAGACGAGAGAACAGAATTTTCATGATTGCAACATTGAAAAAACACCAATGTAGGTGAAATGTATGTGTTTCTAGCGATATGTATGTTGTCTGTGTGTCAAACACGCTCTCACAGATTACTGGAGCAAAGATCTGACTATTCCATCACCTTTCTTCGGGAAATATATGTCCCGAGACAGATTTCAGATACTCCTCAGGTGTCTGCATTTTGCAATTAATGAGGACCGGACAGAGGATGATAGACTTTGGCGAGTGAGGCACTATATGAATGAAGTGATTGGAAAATTCAGAGATTTTTACGTACCAGCATAGAAGCTGGTGATTGACGAATCCCTTGTACTTTTCAAAGGACATGTTTCATTCAAACAGTATATTCCCTCCAAACGAAACAGATTTGGATTGAAATTCTTTGTACTGTGTGACTGTGAAACAGGATACTGTTACACATTATTCTGTATTCAGCTAGCGATGTAGACATTCCCGGTAACGACGAACATGGTTTCTCGGGTAGTGTGGTGAAGTCACTGATGGCACCATGGATGAACAAGGGCCACATCCTAACACAGATAATGATAAGTCCATTGCTAGCTAGGTTCTTGATTGAAAATAGAACCGGGTTGGTTGGCACAGTAAAGGCACAAAGAAGGGAAATGCCAGTGTTTGGTGGTGGACATGCAGTTGGTGAATCCCAGGTACGGAAATGTGATCAAATACTCTCGGTACGGTGGAAAGACAAGAGAGAAGTGAACCTGCTGACAACCGTTCATGAGGGTACAATGTTGAACAGTGGCAAGGTGCACTGTGTAACGAGAGAACCAGTATATAAGCCAGATTGTGTTCTTGACTACAATCTCAACATGCGTTTGATTGATAAGGCTGACATGATGATTGGCACTATCGAGTGTGTGCGGAAAACATTGAAGTGGACGAAAAAAGTGTTTTCCATCTTGTTGACATGAGCATGTTGAACTGCTATAATTTGTATCTGGTGAAAACTGGATGTAAACCTATTTTCCGTTTGTTTGCTTTTACACTTGCAACACAGTTATTAGCAAAGTTTGGTCAAGAAGTCCCTGGCATACGAAGACCAATCATGAACCCAGTGTTGCAGCATGCTGCAACACCCAGGCTCGCTCACATGGATATGCCTTTCAGCAACACAGACTAAAGAATTTGCCACCAGGTGGAAAGCGTGCAATAGGCCAACGTGCATGCATTGTATGTAAAACAACAAAATGAAGAGAACAGAAACGTAAAATGGCGCAAACATGGTGTGACGGGTGTGGAGTTGCATTGTGTGCTGTCGACTGCTTCAGCGACTACCACTCACTCCAAGATTTCTAAATGTGTAATAATAGTGCAAAAACCTGTACATAGTGCGTGCTAGTGTGTACATATAAAATAATGAACATTGTGATTACTGTACATAATATAATGCCATAATGGAAAACGTTTGTGTGCGCATGTGTATACTCGATGCATGCAACATATATTGACAATAACTGTGAAGTAACATTATGTGCAACACAATTAGTGACTAATATTGCAAAGAATACATGCTTAGACACTGTAAATAATGATGCAAAAATAAATTCGTGGCAACTTTGGCTGCTTGAAGACCGCGCACGACGCCTCCAGGATGCACCGTGCATGAGCGACCATGCAAACTGTGACATCATCATCCATCTTGTCGGCTCAATTACATCGCTGGTAAGTACAATTGATTTTTTTTTTATTTTTCCCATGATCAGGGAATACGACTTAACAGGTTAGGAAGAAAAAAGATTTTTGTTTTTTTGTTTTTTGTATGCGCCTGTGGGTGTCAAATGGTATATAGCCATGCTCCATTTAAGGGTTAAATCAAGTGGATAACTGTACTGTATTCATACAAAATACAAACAGGAATCAAACAAATTGACAAAGAGGAATTCCTGAAACCAGGAACTTCAAGAACAAGAGGACACAGATTCAAGCTAAGGAGACAAAGGGGCCAAAAAAATATTAGACAGTTTTCTTTTGCAAACAGAGTGGTAGGCAGTTGGAGCAAGTTAAATGAGAAGGTGAGGGAGGCCAAAACTGTCAGTATTTTCAAAGCACTATACGACAGAGAGTACTGGGAAGATGGAACACCACGATTATAGCTCTTATCCTGTAACTAACTGGAGAGCATACCTGTAGTGTGTTTCGGGAGTTCTTCTACTCCCCGAGCTCAGCCTGATGCCAAGATCGACTTGTGATAACTTGGTCCAACAGACACAACTACTTTAACTACACTTAGATAATTACACGTATGCAATTACTTGATGAATATGTTCATAAATACAGTACTATCTTATTCTGGCTCTACATTACAGTAGATGTGGAGGCCTAACACTATATAAATATACCTTGTCTGTTCGCTGGTTGTAGGGGCCCACACCCTCCCAGGTAACTATGAAGATGCCCTGTGGGACAAAGTTAGCAGCACTGGTGAAGTACTGCTGTAGGTCAAACTTGGCTCGTGACACTGTACCTGGATCTGATGTCTCTCTGAAACAGAGAGATAATTTCAATTTAAAATTCATTTTATAACAGCAAAAGAATTTAGGTTTTTAAAAGCAAAGCGTCAAATCTTTGTCTAAAACTAAATTCTGGTAAACCAGAATGAAAGCACCATATTCTGTAAGATTTTCTATTTTTTAATCATAGAGTAGGCTACATAATATTGTTGAGGCTTAATTAATTGTGACTTGCAGATGGGAGGGCCAATTGATGCATGAAGTAACAAACTGCAGTAAATTACTTTCATTTATATTTATGTTTGGTAAGTTCCGTACTGATAAGTTATGACAGTTAAACTTAGGACACTATGAAGACCCTATGTTATTAGGAGAAAACTGATCGGTAAAATATAATTATATTTGTTGTTAATTTAACCCATAAATGGCAGCAATGGAGAAATGGTCATATCTGCCCATGCACAAGAAATATATGAAACTCACTTATGCACAAGTGGCAGGGAGAAGGAAAAAATAGAAGAAGCAGTAAAGGAAGAAAAAGGAGGTTTCTGAACATAAAAGTCCTTATTATATATCATGCCATGGGTTCCAAGAATGTCAGTGATATAGTTTAACCTAAGAAAATAGTTGTGAGAATGACGAAAGGGGAAAAACAAGAAATCATTAATAGTGAATGAATGTGATGCCTCACTATAGACAAGTGTTAAAACATTGGTAAAAATAAGTGTCTTTAAACAGATTCTTAGTGAGTCAAGCAAGCAGTGAGCCACAACCAGGTCCTAATAGTATGCTTGCAAAATGTAGGAGAGAGAGTACTCCAGAAAAGTCATCCCTTCCTGATGTTATAATGGAAGGGGACTTCCCTCCAAACACTAAAACCTCTCCTCTTCCTCCCCCCCTCCTCACTGTCTTCCATACCCCAGCAAGAGTTCTCAATAAAGGTCAGTTATACATACTGTACTGTAGTACAAAATATGAGTGGTATTCGGTATAAAATGTATTTTTAAGTTAATATTTTTGGGTGAGTGGAACAGATTAATTCAATTTACATTATTTCTTATGGGAAAAATTTTTTGGTTTACAATTTTTTGCAGTATGATGCGTTTCTGGGAACGGATTAGAATCGTAAACGAAGTTACCACTGTATGTAATAGGCATTAAATTCAGCTACTCAGAAAATTCAGCAGTCTCCGTGGTGTAGTGGTAAGACACTCGCCTGGCGTTCCGCGAGCGCTATGTCATGGGTTCGTATCCTGGCCGGGGAGGATTTACTGGGCGCAATTCCTTAACTGTAGTCTCTGTTTAACGCAACAGTAAAATGTGTACTTGGATGAAAAAACGATTCTTTGCGGCAGGGGATCGTATTCCAGGGACCTGCCCGAAACGCTACGCGTACTAGTGGCTGTACAAGAATGTAACAACTCTTGTATATATCTCAAAAAAAAAAAAAAAAAATTAGATTAGCTAAAAGAAACTATGAAAGTAAACTTGCCCCCCAAAAAATAAAAGAAGTTCCAAAATTATTCTATGCATATATGAATTAAAACCAAAACAAAAAGGACTCTGTAGGACCCCTAAAAGATGAGAATTACCAAATTATATTGGATGATAAAAGGACAGCAAACACTCTGAATGAATACTTTACACCAGTATTCACACTAGAAAGATTGAACAACACCCCATCACCCACACAAATGTTTGAAGGAGGTGAAAAGAAAGAAGGAATATACTCATTACATGCGACACAATCAGGAAGATACTTGACAAACGAAAAGACTCAAAAGTCCAGGTGTGGATGGATTTCAAAAAATTCAAATTCAAATTCAAAATTCAAATGTTTATTCAGGTAAAGTACATACATACAAGAGTTATACAAAAATTGATAGATTTATAGATAGAGCTAGTACATACAATGCCTAAAGCCACTATTACGCAAAGCGTTTCGGGCAGGAAAAACATTAAAGACTAAAACTTAATACTAATTGAGATTAAAGTATAAAATGTGTTGAGAACAAATAAAAATAAAAAAGGGTGTGAACATGGCAGAAAAAGCAGCACAAATACAATTAGGTCGACAAACAGCGTTGTTTAAAAAATAACAGACATGGGTTGACAATATAGGGGTAAGGTAGGTTATAGGGAATTTATTAGGTAGTGCTTAGATTTTATCTTAAACTGGTTGAGAGAGGTACAGTCTTTAACATGATTGGGAAGGTCATTCCACATTCTGGGTCCCTTGATTTGTAGAGCATTTCTAGTTTGATTAAGTTATACTCTTGGAATATCAAAACGGTATTTGTTTCTGGTGTGGTGCTCATGGGTTCTGTTACAACCTTCAATGAAGCTTTTGAGGTCAGGATTGGCATTACAGTTCAGCATTTTATATATATATACAGTATATATAATACTCATGAGAGGATGTGCAGTGACTTAATATCTAACATATTCAGAGATTTGAGTAGGGGTACTGAGTGATGTCTGGGGCCAGAGTTGGATATTGTCCTAATAGCAGCTTTGTGTTGAGTAATTAGAGGACGTAAATGATTTTGGGTACTAGAACCCCAAGCACAGATACAATAGTTGAGATAAGGATAGATGAGGGAGTAATAAAGCATCACCAGGACAGGGCGAGGTACATAATATCTGATCTTAGAAAGAATGCCAACAGTTTTTGAAACTTTTTTTATATATTTAGAACGTGTCCCTGGAAATTCAGCTTGTGGTCAATCAATGAGAACGCCAAGGAATTTGCCATCTAATTTGTTACAAATTTGGATGTTGTTTATCCTGAGATTTATTTGATTAGAGGATTTATTGCCAAACAGAATATAGAAAGCTTTGTCAATGTTAAGGGTGAGTTTGTTGGCAGTTCGCCAAAGGTGGACTTTATTTAACTCAGTATTCACTGTGACATTTAGAGCAAGGGGGTCAGGACTGGAGTAAATGAAGGTTGTGTCGTCAGCAAATAGAATTGGTTTGAGGTGTTGGGAGGCATTTGGAAGGTCATTAATGTAAATAAGAAAGAGGAGAGGGCCAAGTATGCTGCCCTGAGGAACACCAATGTTGATGGGTTGGGTGGGAGAAATTGAATTATTCACAGAAACATACTGGAGCCTGTCAGTAAGGTAAGATTTGAGGTATTGCAGGGAGTGACCTCTGACTCCATAATGATGTAATTTAAGAAGGTTTTGGTGGTTGACAATGTCAAAAGCCTTATGCAGGTCCACAAATAACCCAACAGGGAACTCATTTTTATCAAGAGCTGCATGAATCAAGTTAATCATACTAATAAGTGCATCGTTAGTGCTTTTTTTGGGTCTGAAACCATATTGACAAGAGCTAAGTATATTATGTTTGGCTAGATAAGAGTAAAGCTGCTTGTAGATTAGTTTTTCAAATATTTTTGACAAGTTAGGCAGGATTGATATAAGTCTGTAGTTGTTAACATCAGTGAAATCACCACATTTGTGGACAGGGGTTACTCTCGCTTTTTTTAGAATACAGTGGTACCTCACATAACGATCGCCCCAAAAGACGAACATTTTGGGTAACGAACGGCCCGATCGGCGTCAAATCGTCCCATATGACGAACGCTGGTTTGAGGAACGTCAACACCACATGGTGGGGTCGCGCTGCTTCTTGCACATTCTTAGACGCCTCCGACGATGCACCTAAATTATGTTGTTCTTGTTTAAAGATGCTAATGATGCTGGGATATATAGGGATGACTGCTGAGATGTTGCAAAGCATTGACGTTTTTGTAGGAAAAAAGAAATGAAATGTCTGATATACAACAAATGTCAAAAAGGGTCGTTTGGTGTTTGGCAGGTAGGCTGCTCCATTATAACAATCTTTCTTTGTTTCAAATGTGTTCCATTTGTTTTGTATTTGTCATTTACGTCTCAATAATGGAGAAGCCTACCTTACATATACACTCAACAAACCATTATGACATTTTAATTTCTTCAAATGTGTTCAATATTTATTTTTCATTTGTCTTATAGCAAAAGGTTCGTTCGGTGGTCGGCAGGTAGGCTGCTCCATGTTTCTTAAATAAAAAAAAAAACGAAAAATAAAAGAACTGTTGAAACAATTTGAAAAATGGACAAATGCCATAAAGGTTCGTTCAGTGTTTGTCGGGTAGGCTGCTCCATTATTGAGACGTAAGTGACAAATACAAAACAAATGGAACACATTTGAAACAAAGATTGTCATAATGGAGCAGCCTACCCAACAAACACTGAATGAACCTTTTGCTATAACGAATGTGAAAGACAAGGGCTGCTGGCTGGGTTAGTACTGTGTGAGCAACCATTTGTGGCACACGTGCCTCTGGCTCTCAAACACCTGTCCGACACGGTGTTGAAAGACTGCGCTCAGTCGGTGCAATTCAGACCCTATTGTTTGAAGAACATAAGGGTTATCTTGAGATGATTTCGGGGCTTTTTAGTGTTTCCGCGGCCTGGTCCTAACATTGGTGAATCTAGGCGCAATAAGGGCTTAACACAACGGTCGGATGCCAGTGATACAGCACCTATGAGGATGATACAGCGAGTGTATCCAGTTGTAGCTCTGAGCCCCACCCTTGCCATCTCCAATTTATATAGATGATACATAGATGAATCGTTTTCTACGTTCAGTGATGATGCATCTGATACAAGTAGCATACATGAACAGTGTTAGCAGCTTCCATGGTGGTGTTCTCCATAGATATTTTCAAGAATACCTGAATCTCTTCCTGACTGATGGACACTCTTTGAGGCTAGCTGAATCTCTTCCTGTGTGGGACCTTACAAAGCGATCTTTTCAAGACTACCTTACAAATTGAGCTTTTCCTATGATCGTTTCAATACTACCTTATGCTTTACAAGCTTGGCTACATACCACCTACAAGTACTAAAGCCAAGGGTGCACGCGAGTGCGTTATTTGCAAGCACACAGAACGATGAAACAGGAAACGAAAATCTATCTGTAGCTGGTGCAACGTGAGCAAAGTTGTGCTGTGTACCATGGACTACTTCGTTGACTATTATGCACCTCGAAAGTACTGAGTGTGTAATACAGTGTGTTACTGTGTAAATAGTATGTGAAACTGTACATATTGTAATTTTAGTGAATTTTTACCACATAATATTGTGACAATAAACATTTATTGTGGACACATTACTGACACATGTATCACAGTTCCATGGAGAATTATGAACATTCTACTGTATACATATTGTAAAGGTCACAAATATGCATCATATACGATAAAAGAAACAAATAAAACCGCATTGGAAATACATAGAAAAAATATTTGAAAATATATTTGTGGCTACATGCGGTGCTTGAATGGCCTGCACGACCGTGTCTGGGAGCTTCACACACCGGCGACCAGCCCCTGATGACGTCACAGCGCACCTTGTCCACGCCCTCACAGTCAAAGTAAGTGGAATTTGGTAATTATTTTTACATAGACATGTTCAGGGAAGGTAATTTATCATTTTACAAAGAAAAATGATATTTTGGGGAACATTTGATGTCATGCACACTGGGGGAATTTCACAATAAACACAGTGCATCACACTGGTTACATGGGGGACACTCGTTTTGTATGACGTCCGTTTCACATGACGAACATGGAACGAATTAAATTCGTTACTCAAGGTATCACTGTATCTGGAAAGGTTTGGAGTTCAAGTGACTTGTTGAAGAGCAATGCAATAGCAGGGGCTAAAGATCTGGAGGCTTTTTTGTAAATTAAAGTTGGTATCTCCTCAAGGGCACTAGACTTGGTTTTAAGGGAAAGGATTATCTCATTAACATCAGTGGAATTTATAGGCTTTAGGTACAGAGACTGTGGATAGTTACCTGTAAGATAGTCCTGAACATCAGTACTGGAAGATGGAATATCATTTGCAAGGGATGACCCAATGGAAGAGAAGAACCTATTGAACTCAGTAGCAGTATCAGAGGCTGAAAGCTGACCATCGTTATTGGACAGGAGTATTGGTTTGTTATTTAAAATCTTCTTTGATCCCAATATTTGTGAAATTGTGCTCCATGTTTTTTTTAATGTTGCCCTTTGTTTGGGTAAATTTATCTTCATAGTATTTAGTTTTGACTCTTCTAATTATTTTAGATAGCAATAACGAGTAATTCTTTGAAAATTCTTTGGAGACGGTTCCTAACCTATACTTCTTCTCAAGGTCATGTTTTTTATTAATGCATTTATGTATTCCTTTTGTAAGCTCGACATGATAGGTCGAGAATGGACTGGAGTATATGTTGTGGCGGAAACTTGCGTCAGGCAGCGCGGTGGTACTCACAGCCAGAGAGGTTTGTTTTGAATTTTGTTTGAGATGGAATGAGTAGATTTGGGTTGGTTACTTTGAATGTGCTATGACATGCTTGGACTCCATGTACTTTGCTGCCTGTGGGTGGTGGTCTACATCATCTGGGGGTAGTTTAAGGGCTGAAATACAGCGTAGAGTGAGGAGCGTAGTGAGCCCTTTGACTGGCGCCTTTGACTCTCTTTGGATTTCAATTCAAAGTCATAAAGGAACTGGCAAATGCACTATGCATACCACTGAAATTCCTTTTCAGAAAATCCCTGGACCAAGGGATAGTTACCCTGGATTGAAAATATGCAAATGTTAGCCCCTATTTTCATAAAAGGCAGAAAGAGCTCAGCAGAAAACTACCATCTGATAAGCTTAACACTATCGCTCTCTTTGGACATGCCTCATGTCCATTTTTTTCTCTCGTGTCCTAGCTTTGGACACTGCTCGCGTTCAATACAAAACATATTTGTATAAAATTCATTTTTTATCCAATCGACTTCGGGATAGTTTCAAAATGAGCGCCTTTAGAGTGCACATAATTTAATACCAAAATTAAAAGATGTAACACAAAACTTGATGCCAGAACACTTGAAAGATTATAAATACGTTTTTGGTCAAAATTTTTATATATGTGTTAAAATTCTATTTATTATGCTATTATTATGGGACTAGTTTTAAAATGTGTGCCTTTACATTGCGAACAATTTAATACCAAAATGAAAGATGTAACACGAAAATTTGTTGGAACACTGGAAAGATATAAATAATTTTGTGATGATGAGCGTCCAAAATTTGAATATTTGTTAAAATTCCAGTTATTGCTCTATTATTATGGGACTAGTTTTAAAATACGCGCCTCTATATTGCGAACAATTTGATACCAAAATGACCGACCTAATACAAAAATTGATATAAATTTTCTTTAGGGTTTTAAAGAAGGGTTTTCTTTAAGAGGTCTTCATGCAATTTTCTTGCTTTTTCACAAATGATGGCCTCTGAAATGCTATCACCTGCTAACTCCTTGCTGTGTATCCAAATTAATAATAACTGTTCAACATCCTCAAGTGTTTGTGTTCTATGTTTCGTGATTATTGATACGCCTTTTGCCACTTTAGCACTCATAATGTCCTTTTTCTAAGCAAGTATGGTGGATATCATTGACTGAGATTTGTTGTACTGCCTAACTAGTTCAACAACCCACACACCATCTTCATATTTATGAATGATCTCTTGTTTTTGCTCTATAGTCATCCTGACATGTGTTTTCATATGTTGAACCTTACCACTGACTTTCTTGGGACCCATAGCATAATATATAATTATCAGTTTTATGTTCAAAAAGCAAAACACACCAAAAAAAAAACAGAATTTCTTATAAGTATGAAAGTCACTAAGTGGGCGGCTCTAGTAAACTAAGGCAGGTCAGCCCACGTGACCGGGAACCATGCACTCGGTTGACCTGAACGTGTATCAACAAATATTGTTAGTCGACAATACAGTACTATCGTAAGTTGAGTCACATTTTCCGATCAAATTTATATTGTAACTCAAAATTATCGTAAGTTGGGGTAATCGTAAGTCGAGGTGCCACTATTTCCTTTTCATTTTCAGTGAATCTGTTTCACAGAATATTATCCTTTACCTCCAAATGATGGACCAGCACTCAAAGCCTCCACATCCTCTGCAGGCAAGTCCATGGACAACTCGAGATGGGAAAAGAAGCTCAAGACTGAGGCTAAATGCCAGCGAGCACAAAAATCCTCTGCCACCATGGCAGTCGAAAGGGAGGGAACCTGCATGTGCAGCTGCAGAAGGCCAACATCGGGCACCAATCCTTAACTGTTGCATTCACCCAGCAGTGAATGGGTGCTTGGTTGTTAAACGATTTGATGGGTCGTATTCCAGGGAAAAGTTGTAGCTGGGGAAAATTAGGATCAAGGACCTGTCCGAAATGCTATGCGTGTTAGTTGCTACAAGATACAGAGTAAGTTTGAAACACAAGGTAGGAAACTATGATGATGAAATTAGGTACTTTTTGGTTTTACCGTTGAATAAGGCATAGGTCGGGCAATTTTTTAATTCATTAGGGAATGAGTTCCATAGACTGAGTTATTTTATTTGCATGAAATCTTTGCACAGATTTAGTTTGGCTCTGGGGGATATTAAAGAGATATTTATTTCTGGTGTGGTGCTAATGGGTTTTATTACATCTATCAAAGGAAAAGTTTCAGATCGAGACTAGCATTTAGGAACAAGGTTTTGAACATGTAAATACATGTAATAATAATAATAATAATAATAATAATAATAATAATAATAATAATAATAATAATAATAATTTACTTGCAAGAAGGTACAATGGGTTGGTGAGATTATATAAGATTGGTATTTTTACATTCATGCAAAGCCACTAACATGCATAGCATTTCTGGCAAATAGCACATGAGAATGTATGGAGTGAGTGTAAGTTTAGCATGTTAAGGACATAATAAGACATTTTGCAAGTCGTTGATGTATTCAGTATAAGAAATAGGAGAGGTCTTAAGATGCTGCTTTGTGGCACTCTTACAGTTAATGGTAGAGTGGGGAAGGTTATGTCACTGATGGCTACATATTGGTGTCTTTTATTAAGATATGATTATAGTTCAAAGCGAGGCCTTGGATTCCAGAGTGATGAAGTTTAATTAATAGGTAGTTATGGTTTACAGTATCAAAGGCCTTTATCAGGTCAATAAAGAGATGCCTGTATAATAAATACCTGTACCAAATGTCTCCCGCCAGCCTGGAATCGACATCAGAGTAGAAAGGTGCAATTATGGGGTACTCGAGCGGAAACTGGACATTGAAGAAGTTTGGTATTTCAGTCAGGAATGAAATGAAGCCATTGGAGTTCACCTGAGGGAAACAAACAGTGTTTACTCAATCTTGCTGTGTTTACTCGGTGTATACTATAAATAAAAAATAAAAGATTACAAAAAATTGGACCGAAGTGAGATTAATCTTAACAGTATATACAGGGATACATTTGTTTATGATCCTAATCCATTCCCAGAGATGCAGCGAACACCAAAAATTTGTAAACCAAAACAAATTTTCCCATAAGAAATAATGTAAATTGAATTAATCCGTTCCACACCCACAAAAATATTAACTAAAAATACATTTTATACTGAATACCACTTATTTTGTACTACTGTACAATATGTATATCTTACCTTTATTGAGGACTCTTGTTGGCTTATGGAAAATGATGAGGATAGGGAAAGAAGAGGTATTAGTGTTTGGTAGGGAAGTCCCCTTCCATTATAACATAAGTGACAAATGAGGAAAAGAATAATATAAAATGGTGGGATATGGCCCCTGCTTTATCTTGTAAAGCTGGGAGGTTTCTGGGAACGGAGAAAAACATTTACGCAGCGCTCCAAGAGTGCTGCTCGCGCAGTGGGGGGGGGGGGGGGGGGGGTGCCATATTTAAGCAAACACACGAGGGGTATCTGTCTCATTTACGTTCCAGCTCCGGCCTGCCTCGCTTCGAAACGAACGAAATTCATTAATATTATTAATTATTTTCTCAGTATAATTGTCTCTTTAAGCTTTATTTGCAACTATTCATTTCTTGCTTAATTTATTTTTATTTTCTTGCATATGTCTTGCTTAATTTAATTTTCATAATTATTTATTATTTAATTTCTCCACATTTAAAATTACAAGTGAAATGTTTACAAGTACAGAAGTGGAGTTATTACCGATTTATTAGGTTATTTACAGTTCCACATTTATTCATGGGTATTTATTTATTATTTGTTATTAGTTTTATAATTTATTATATTATTATTTATTATTTTAATTACTATTATTGTTATTTATTATTTTCTCAGTATAATTATCTCTTTAAGCTTTATTTGCAATTATTTATTTCTCACTGTCCCTTCTTCGTGGTTTCATGTTTCCTTCATGTGTTTTATTTAGGACGTTGGTTACTTCCCCCCCCCCCCCTCTTACATTACCGTCTGCTTACATTTCCTTTCTCCGCAGTACAGAGAAGCCGACCCACACCCCCACGGCGAGGAAGAGAACAAGGGCCGCGTCAACAAGAGGACAGAGACGAAGGGGCGCCAGGACGCAATCGCCCAGGGCAAGGGCAAAACCTGCCCGCTTCGCCTTGTAACACCCATGACCTCCCCCCCCCCTTAGAGTTCACACCCAGGGAAGCCTTCTCCAAGAGGTCAGCCCAGATGACCTCCGGATTATCTTGTATGTTGATTAAAAAAATTCCTGGGTTAGTCTTAGTCAGCATAGTTTCAAGTATGTAATATTTCATGATACTCTGGTCAAACATTGCAAGGAAATTAGACCCCAGATTCTTATGTGTAAACATCCATGGATCTACCCCTTTTGGCCAGGTCAGAGGTCAGTCGCACACGTAATTAATAACTCCTCTCTTGAAGAGTGTATGGTGAATGTCAAACAAGCTTATTGAAATATTTCTTGAGTGTTTGTACACGTGTGGCCGATCTCTTACATTCTTGGGGTAGGTAGCAACAGCAGATCCCCCCCTGTAGGGGTTGTATATAGAGGTCCTGTAGAGACTTACTAAGGAGAGAGTGCCGGACACCGGGGCCCAGAGAGGTTGTGGAGAACATCGGGAGGTGACAGAAGGAGAGACAGAGGTCTTAAGGTAACGTGTGTGATCTCTGAGGTTTTGTTCCATGTCCAAATTTCTTAATTTTTTTTGCCAGTGTTAGAGTAGGATTTATAAGTGGTGATTGACATAATTTTGGTCTCAATAAACTCATGTTAAATTTCCCGTCTGTGTCAATTGTTGAATCCTCTTAGCCTTTTGGATATAGTGGCTGACAACCATTTTCATAATTAATGACAGTCATAGAAAGTACTCTCCAAGTCAAGCAATGTTTCTCGCCTCGTTGCTTGATATAGTCTCAATGGTCAAAGGCAGATGGTGGCAGCGCATTTAATCCTGTGTTAGCATTTCCTTGTTGGCAGGGTACCTTTTTTAGTTCCGGTGTAACCATCATATGTCAGCTCATAACAGTGTTACCAAGTGCAACCGATGGGGAAGTGTTACTCAGGATAAGTAGTGTTTACATTATTAGTTTAGTATCCATTATAGTGGGGTTCCATTATAGTGGTGTTACATTTAAAGTGGTGTTACAAATGGTGGCATCGCCTCCCCCTCGATGGAGGCCTCCTCAGGGGCTCTGACACAGACGGCGACCACATCCCCAATACACGCCCGGCTGGCAAGGCCACGGGTGGGGCGCAGCTGCCCAGCCTCCACAACTTTCGGCTGATGACTGGGCAACGCTGCAGTCGCTCAACGCACAGGCTCGGAGCCCCTCCTCCAACTCAAGGCGACGGTACAACACAAACCCCGACAACGCAGCCGCCACGGACGCCCTCTCAGACCAGCCTACCCGTCTTGCCTCCCCCTCGGTGCGCCGCCCACGGTCAAGGGCAAGGAGGCACACGACGAGGCGCCAAAACAGCTCTTCCAGTCTGTCCTCTTACGGTGAGTACCACAGAGAGAGCTCGTTCCCCCCTTCCGCTAGTCCTTGGCTGGGACACCACTGGCGGTCACAAGGCACCACCATCACCATGCTAGGTGAGCACGTCCCGCAGGCCCTACGAGAGAAAATCTGGGCAAACAAGTACATCGACTTTAGGGAGCTGCTAGCCTACGAATGCGATGCCAGGCCTTATGAGACATGATACGCCACTCCCTCTGAGGCCCAGTCATCCGCTTAGAATCTGCCGGCTCGGATGCCCGAGCTGTGGGGCCATGGCTTCGACATTTTTGCATCAATCTACCTGGAGCGATATCCCGCCCAAGGGCAGGCACTTTTCACTTATGTACGCTATGTGAAGTCCATGAAGCGCGACCTTCATGGCGAATGGATGTGATACGATGAGGCTTTCAGGTGGAACAAGGAGAGGTCGGGCTGCCCTTGGACTGCTCTACGACTCGACCTGGAGATTTGGTCAGTACAATGCGCTGCGCAGGAGCGGAATTAGGTGGTGCATCAAGCCGTCACCCCTTCAGCCAAATGCTCACTCTCCACTGCATGGGCCTACGGCCTCCCCCCGGGATACTGCTACGCTTTCCATGCAACAGGGGCAGGCTGCACCGTCTCCTCCTGCACCTTCAAGCACTACTGCTCGCGTTGCCACAAGCAACACCCTGCCTACTGCCTGTGCCCCCAGGCCCAGCCTCACATCGCCGCCGCCAAGGAGAAGCGTTCCCGTCACCCCCCTTAGGACAGAGGGAAGAGGAAAGACACACGTCACAACGCCGGTGGACGCAGATGCACTTGATGCTTTCCTGGTGAGTTACCCCCTCCGGGACTACGTCGTGGGAGGCTTCCAGAGGGGTTTCCTACTAGGTTTCGAGGGGATGCGGACTCCCCTCTCCTCAAGCAACCCCCCTGCAACTACAGCCCTTCCAAATATAGTGGGGCCTATGCTTGACAAGGAACTAAGTCTGAGATGCATAGCGGGCCCCTTCGAGGCCCCCCATTCGAGAACTTCAAGTGTTCTCCCATAGCCCTGAGAGAGAAGTCTATGCTGGGCAAGTACAGGCTCCTGCACAACCTCAGCTACCCCTATTCCTTGGAGAGCATGAACGCCAACATGCCGCGGGAGTCGACAACGGTGACCTACCAGTCCATCAACGACGTGGTGGCCTTGGTGGTCAGACGCTCACCGGTGGCGCACTTGGCGAAGTGCGACATAGCAGAAGCGTTCCGGATCGTCCCGGTCCACCCCAGCGACTACCACCTACTCGGCTTCACCTATGAGGGGCGGTACTACTACGAGAAGATGCTCAGCATGGGGGCTGCACCCTCCTGCAGGATCTTCGAGACGTTCTCTAGCCCCCTGCAATGAATCCTTGCAGAAAAATTCGGCGTGCGGGATGTTGTGAAGGTGCTGGACGACTTCCTCTTTGTGAGTTCTACCTACGACGAGTGCTTGCAGATCATGCAGGTGTTCACTGCCCTCTGTGAGCACCTGGGCATTCCCTTGTTCCCCCACAAGACTGAGGGCCCCTGCCCCTGCCTCACTTTCCTTGGACTGGAAATCGACGCCCGACGGATGGAAACAAGGCTACTGGAGGACAAGAGGATGAAGTACATGGTTGCTGTGGAAGATGCCCTAGGGTCCGAGAGCCTCCCCCTGAGGGACCTGCAAGGGATCATCGGCAAACTGCAATTCACCACGACGGTCATCCCGGGGGGATGGGCCTTCCTCCGACGCCTCCACCTGCTCACACAGGGCGTACAATGCCCCTCGCGCCCCTGCCAGCTGGACACGGAAGCAAAGCTCGACCTGGGCGCCTGGCGCACTTTCCTTGGCGCGTTTAATGGAGTAACAGTTTTTCCCCCAGATGGTGGATGGGGGTGCACCAAGTCTCTCTCAATCTGCGTAGATGCTTCCTCCAAGGGTTACAGACTCACGCTCGGAGCGGCCTGGTTCAGGGGAACCTGGCCCACAGACTGGAGCAAGCTCAACATTGCGCTCCTTGAACTCTACCCTTTCTACATGGAGATATCCATCTACGCACCGGTGTTAGCAAACAAGAGGCTGGTGTGCAGGTCTGACAATGCCGCTGTGGTAAATGTGCTGCACTCTCTGTCAGCCAGGTGCCCCCCCCTCATGCAACTTGTCAGGCCACTGGCGATCCTCTTGCTTACTTATAATATTACGCTCCTTCCCACACACCTCCCAGGCAAGTTAGACAGGGTTTGTGGCACTCTTTCCCAGTTGCAGGTACTGCCGCCCTTGTTCCTGCGAGACACAGGACTCGCCGAGATGCCAACCGACGTCCCCCAGCACCTCCTGCCCTGCAACTTCACCTTGAAACTGTAAGGACGCTGCTC